AATTAAAAATAATTTTAATTTTTTAATTAATTAAAATTTTAATTTTTATCAAATTTCGCTTGTATAAATTTAAATATTGAAGAATTGTACTCTGATGAGGTATTTTCAATAAACTATATATATATATAATTATGTAAATTTAAATCAGTAAGTGACAACAAACTGGACTTGTGGCTTGTGACTTCTTTATACAAGATTTCAATTAAATTTTTACCATACAATCAAAATATTACAATTCAATATAATAAATTTTATTAATGAATAAAGATAAATTACATATTTTAATTATTATTGTTATTTTTGTTCAGACCAGAATTATAAGAAAATGAAAATATGAAATATTTTACTAAACTGTAGTTCGAGACGGTTCAATTTTCTTGATCAGGTTAAACCTGATAAGTTTTAATCACCTTTATAAAATCACTTATTTGGCCAAAAGCAACATATTGTTCCCATTATTAAAATAACCAAGTCAATTTATTTTGTTCACCTATACCCAGGAGAGAATAAAAAAAAATTAATTAAAATCACTGATTTGGAGAAATGAAAATTTAACCAAAATAATTGTGCAAAAATCACCTTTAACCAATTTCACATAAGAATAAAGTAAATTTAAGAAATGTTGACCTTTTATCCGAAAATGAACAATTTTTGAACTATTTCATGTTTTCCCAACCTAAATAATTATAAAATTCAACGCCTGCGAATGACGCATGTTTTCCAATTTCAGGGAAGTACTGCATTCTGCGTCAGAAATTTAACTGCGGGTCTCCAAACAGACTGCGCAAGTCGGTATAGAGGCAAGGTCGGCGCTTCGACGCTGACCTCCCGAGGGGACTGCAATTGCGCCCCAGGTCGTTTTGTTCAATGCTGATCGTGCACCTGAAGACCGACGCTAGTTGGGCGAGCGTTTCACAACTTTTTTAAGCCGTCTGCATCTATTTGAGTTTTACGGTCACTTTTTCCTCGAAAGGGAATTAATATTTTTTTCACAGAGCGGTCAGCGGTGCACGCGCGCACGTTTCCGGCTTCGTCCGTCACACCTTTCGCTGTGTTTGACGGATGATTAACAACAACGTTTGATCAGATATGACTGGAAATATGCACGCAAAGAGAATTTGTTGCGCTCAAAAAAAAAGTTAATGGGCAACTAAACGCTTTTGGTTTTTCTCTTATCAGATCTCATCAGTCTAAAAAGAAACGTCTTGAGAGGGGAATAAATTTCTAGCAAACTCAAAATTGTAATTTTCATCTCAACCAGAGCTTCATGTTTATCTGAAGAGTGTAATTAAAGGGGGGAAAATTTAAATAACTTTTTTATTTGGAATAAATAAATAAAATAATCCAAAGACTTAAGCTAAGAAATAATTAATTATTCTAAAAATGAAATTCGCACTTAAAAAAATCAATCTCGATAACGCTTTATAAGATATAAAAGAATATAAAATTAATTTTTAAACAAACATTAGTGCTAGAAGGTTGCCGAATCAATTGGAAATTGCTGGGTAAAAACTCATAGTTACGTTAATTGATGGTTGGAGGAAAAGCGTCTGTGTTTGTTTAATATTTATTTAGATTACAGGAAAAACCAATCAGGAAATTGGTTTTCCTGAAAATACGCACACACCATAAAATAAATCTTTCCGTAAATATCCAATTCACTTGCTAATTCATCAAACAAACCCTTAAATGAGAAATAAAATAAACAAAATATAGGGAAAAATTGATTTGTTTAAACAATGAAGCTGTTTTTGTACCAAAATTTATCCTCATTGAAAATTTGTTTGAAAATAAAACCAAAAAACACAACCCTTTTTATAAAAGAAACGTTGATATTTTTTAGCTGAAATTGATGCATTTGACAATACGGTTGGGTAACATCATCGTAAAAGCGTCTCGCCAGTTTTAGAAGAAAAAAAATCAAAATTACGTGCTCGGATTTTGCGTCACATTTGTCGGAAATTGAATCTGTTTGGCGCGCTCGTAATGAGCGTATGCATTGCGCCATTAAAGCTCGGCGGCACAGAGAGAATGTCGGTCGCGTACATGCTATGCAGCGTGCGTGTGTCGTGTACGTATAATGTAATGTGGCTGCACGACGAGCAGCCTCTGAGGAATCATCTTCACGTGCGCCGCCGCTAATTTCGCCAGCGGCGTTTATTCAAATCGTCATTTTCCCGCGGCGGCGCCGCGAAATGAGCGCGCGGAGCCAGGAATAGCCCGGGGCTTAGAAACAGAGAGAGAGACACTTAATTACGCGCGTCGGCCCCGGTCACCGATCAAGAGCGCTTCCATCATGTGGACACTTTTGACAAGCGCCGCTTCATCTTGGCTCCGACGGCGTCACCACGAGGAAAAGGAGTCGAGTTCGCACGTTGCTAAACCAAACTGCAACCACACCGCGGCCAAGAATTTCTTGTTTGAACTGCGCTAAGTAACATTCCAGCTTCATATAAATAATTGGGATCAAATTTTAAGAGTGCTTTAAAACACGAGGAAAAGCTATTTTAACTCCATGGATTAATTTCGTCCTAATTTAAGAGTTTAAATGACAAATTTCAAAATGTTAAAAATTGCGTGATGAAGCAATAATAAATTAAAATTTGTTTAATTTGCGGAGATTGTAGCGAAGGTTTTTAAACAAATATGGTTTTTAAAACTGGATGGTAATAGTTTTAATTAAGTTTGACCGTGTTTTATATATCTAGATATAATAATTAAATTTTGTATAGGTTTCAGATCGTTACAGGAAATTACACTTGCGAGCTAGAAAATTTCAAATTGGTAAAAAATAAAATCCTCTTAAAATTTCTTATAAATATTTTAACAAAATAAAAGTAGACAATAATGATACTTTTTACAATACCTGACGTTACAATTTACAAAAAAAGGGAGTGGAAACTGGAAAGAAAGGCAGAAACAGTAGAATAGCCTACTAGCAACTTTGATTCAGGGAACAAAATTTAATCTCAAACGCACTCCTACGTAGAAGTTTATTTTAAATCAGATATTATTAACGCACAGCTATTGCTATGGTTACGATTTACAAATACGGCCAAATCAACAATAAACCCGAGGATTAGAACAACATAAAGTTTAACAGTGGTACCTGTACAATCAGATTTGCACTAAATTCGGCTCATGGCTGCGTTTAATCTAGCATTTGATCGCAGTTCAGGCCATTTTCCTTTGTTCAAGGAAAGATTTTATTATTAAGTTTATTTGAAATTTGAAGCTATTGCTGTGTAAAAATAAATAATATATTTTTATTTTATTTTAATAGGTTTCTTTGATAATAGATAACAATAAAAATAAACCAATAAAATTGGATCAATGAAATAAAGTTTGACTGTACCATTATTTTTGCCCTACGCTAAAAAATTATCCTAATTTAATTTCTTTTCTAGTGTTTAATTTTTATTTAATATAATTTTACTCCATGTCACTTCATTGGCATTTTAATAGTGAATGGAATTAGTGAAAAATGTTGGAATTTAAATCCACCCAATTAAATTATTTAAAACTCAAGATTAGATTTGAATAAATTTGGTGAAACGGCGCGATTTTATCCCTTGATGCTCTTCGACACGGGCCATTAATTCGGATGCGGATCTAATTGGCTCTGACCGCGGATCGCCGGTGGTTAAATTAACGTCGTGCCGATGGAAGACAGCACCTTGTAAATTCGATTCGGGGCCATTCATCTATCAATGGGCCTTTCTCCCTGCCGGCCGCTGATCACTTCGCGGCGCAGCTACGGCGGCGGGGATGCTTTTGGCACCATTATCGCGGCCCTTTTCTTGGCACGCCTCGATACTCATTAACAAACATTTGCCAAAATGTTTTGTTCGGATCAGCCACGCCGAGAGGAAAAAGATATACCGCAGAAAAACACGTGTAAATTTTCGATCGTTCGCACAGGTGGCACCGAAAAATTCTCGCGTTCGAATTTTGTTTGCCGAAGAAAAAACAAAATAAAAAGGTTTCTGAGTCACTGTGTCAAAATTCTAATACTAAAATGGTGAGAAATGTTAAGATCGTTACTTAAAATTAACAGTATGAAATAATTGGTGGAATTAAAAAAAAATTAATACTTTTTTATTCTTCTTTTATTCTTTTGTAATAATGTAAGAATGAAATTAATGTACCGCGCCCGATTTCCTATAAAGATTGACACACTTGAAAGGAAATTATGTCAGGTAAATAGGTCAATGCTCCACTATCTCCATGCGATTGCGAGCTCTGCAGAGTTTGCGAACTGGATCAATTTATGCAACTTCAATTTGTTTGAAGATTTCCACTCCATGCATCAAATCCATAATGAAGGCTTTATTGACAATACCAAAGGAACTTATAAAATTATTTTTATAAGGCTTGATTTGACTCCTCTTAGAGAGCAAAACTGGAATAACGGCGTATTCTTGACTAAAATTTCAAAATAATTGTTATATTTTTCTAATTAACATGAGGGTGATAACAATAAATTTTAAAGTATAACTTTTTGTAGATCGAACTCCGAGAACTAAAATTCCTGCGTTTTCTTTAATATTTTTTGTAGTTAAAATTGTTTCAGAGAATGATTCAAGCATATTTGGAGAGTTATCAAGAATCATTATTTTTGTCAATGTATGCAATTTCTTCACAAGGGTGTCCAGCAGGTTGCATACCATTGTAAAAACGTGAAATACTTTCCATGAATAAACTAAGAAGCTTTCAGAAATCCTTCAGTAAAAACAGATTTTTTGAGTGAAACGATTTTAGTAGAGACGAGAAAATTGTAAAGTTAACCTTACTTATTTGTAAAATTGAAAGAAGAAAAAATATAATTATATATCTTACTTTATCAACCCTTTTGAACTGAGGTCAAACTGCTCATCGTGAACCCTTTGGAAAGAAATTATTGTTGGACAAGAACGCGCGATTCGGCGGCCGGGCTACTCGTCTCGGATTTTGATCAGCTGCAGGGCCGGGGGAAGGAGGGGGTGGGCGGGCGGGCATACCTGCTTGAAGCCGCGGTACATGACCCTGATCTCCTGGCGCGTGAACTTGGTCTGCCTGCAGAGGTCCTCGAGGGCGACGGGCCGATGCTTGACGGCCGGACGACCCGGCTCGAGCTCGAACGCGACGTCGTCGACAGGGCTGTCGGGCGGGGTGGCCATGGCTTCGCAAGAGTGTGTGTGTGTGTCGCGGGGGTGCTTCTCGTCAGCGGCGGCCGCGCCTCCACATCTCCGTCGCGCTCGTTATCCCCGCTGGCTCGCTCGCTCGCTCGACCCGCACTCACTGACTCTGCTGGGGACTCGCAGCTCGAACGGCGGCCAGGACCGAGCTGGCGGTGCGCGCGCGCCCAATCAATCCCATTCAGCAGCCAGCCAGCTCCTGCTAAACTCTCTCCTGCCCCTGCTCGCACCAGCCACCACCTACCTCCTGCTGCGGACCAAAGGGTTGCTCCACTATGCCCATTTCCGCCCTGACCACTTCTTCAAACGCCCTCATGAACAGCTAATTTTCTCATGTTTGTGTTTTGCGTAAATACAAACTTTTTTACCAAAGACATTTTTACTTTGATTAAATGAAATTGAAAATTAATTAATCTTTAGTGAAATGCAAAATTTTGTTTTGTTAATTTTATTTTCTTTGCTTGTAATAAAATTTTTTATTTTATTTTTTAATTTATGAATGTTTATTATTTATAAATGAATATTAAATTTTATTTTAACATCTTTGACATTTGAATTTTTTTTACAAGACTTGAAAAGTTTGAACGTCTTTATCTCATTTTATTAAAAAATTAAAATTTCAAAATTTTGAATAAGAACAAAATGCTTACAATTTTTTTCTCGGAACGTAATTTTTTTATTTGATAAATAAAGCAAGGTATTAGGTGACTTTATTTATTCTTACAGTACACGTTCTGTATATTTGCACAATGTATAATCCAATATTGTATTTTTCTTATTATACAAAGTTTAGAGTATTAATTTTTATTGGATTAAATAAGGTTTATTATTTAATTTTTTGCAAGATTGTGATTTATTTATTTTATCTTTTCTGCAATAAATGCACAGTTATTTAAATTATTTTGTTATGCCTTTGCTTGATAATAGTAATTCTGACAAGATAGTTGTTCCGCGCTCCAGCAGGTGTCTCTGAAACTCTGAAGTGGAGAGCTGTTGCTAGGAGAAGCGGCAAAAGCCATAATTGTATGTAACATGCGAGTGAAATTTCATTATGCAATCCATTAATTTATTTAGGGACCTCTTCACCCATACTACTTATTTATTATTGGTTTATTTTCAATGTATTCTAATATAACCCGAGATTTTTAATAATGAAATTATTTTTAACATTAAACTTTGAACTGTTTTCAATTCAATTTATTTTTCTCCAAACAAGTGTATTTATCGTTTTTCGATTAAAAATATTTATATTTGAGATCACTAAAATCGAAATCTTACTCTCAAAATTTTTTAATTACAAGCAAGCTTGAAACAAGAGAAAATTTCCTACAATAGGGATAAAAATAGTGGAGAGTAAAGATTATTTTTATAACTATATGTTTACTTTATTGATAACAACATTCCATAATAAACAAGGCAAACAAGTGAACTAATAACGTTTTTTTGATTGAGCATTTTAAAGTCCATTTTATAAATAACTTCCTAATAAGTCCTGCCTTTCCACTTTTCACAATGCGAACGGTGTGAGGGGTAACTGTGTGTTGAGGTGTTGCTGCTGTTCGTATCCGGCGTTGCAAGGGTAGCCGCTGTAGGGTTGGAAGTATGGTGCCTGCGGCCGATTGAAGATTCTGTTTCTGAAAAATTTGTAACCCTTCTTGACGAGGCCGAAAGTGCGTCCTTGTCTGCCGTCGTCCTCGGAACCCTCAAAATTTGACGGGCCGGCAGGGATTTCTTCTTGAGAGTCTGGCTCGTAACCCTGCGGACGCGCTAGGATCCCTGACAGCACCACCACCAGCACAACAGCAACCTTCAAAATTTTCAAAATAATTGTTTTTTTAATAAAAATAATCAATTTAAAAAAAAAAAAAAATGTAAATTTTATTTTATATTTTTCAATTTTTAAGTGTAAAACCTAATAGAGGGCAAAGCAAAATTAAATATTTTGTATGTAAAAAAATCAACCATAAAAAAATCTTTCCAATGGAATGAAAAAAAATATTTTTTTAGAAGTATGAAAAAATGAAAATGAATATATTATTGATTGAAAAAAATTCAAAAGTGAAAATCTTAATTAAAAAGAGACAAAACTTACAAGCAGGAGCTTCATTTTAAAGTAACTCTATATTTGTGACAAGCACCGACTGTTAATTAATAGCGACTAATACAAGTGAAGCTTATTATCTCCGTTTATATAACACAAAACTTTCACACAATTCGGCTTAATTCTAGTTTCCCAACCCTTTCACTATCAATTCGAGCGAATGCACTTTAATGTTACAAGTATTGTTTCCAGTCACGTGTCTTGGCCGGACATGTCGACACAGCAACACAATGAATCATGAAAATCTGGAATCTTCGAAATTGTAGGAAATTATCAACGCGAGCGATTTTAGGTTAGTTGATGCTGGACCACCCAGTCCGGCCTCACAAGATCTTTTGACTTTTTGTCAGCCACTGACAGTGTCAAAGATCAGAGGTCGGTTTGCACTGTGATAGAAGTGCTACTCTTATCACACGACTCATTGCAATAAGCGAGAGCAAACAAAAATCGGTAAAATGTGCTTTCTCAAAGACTATTCACATGTAAAGATGAAGGAAATATTGCCTAGTGAATCAAATATTTTCAAAATGCCAATTTAAAATGAAAAATTATATTGAAAATAAAATAATCCTTGAAATGTTCATTAAATTTACTGTAAATATCCATCTTAAGAACAAATCTTTTTTCCTGATATTTAAATTATACAAATATAATTTTACTATACAATTTTATTTACTTAGATCCTTTAGTTTTGTGAAAAAAAACTTTCATTATGAAAATAATATTTTTACTGAATTATTTTGATTTTGGATTTAATTTTAACATTTTATTCCAATTAAGTACAAATATTGTTTACGTGGAAAGAAATTATTATTTTGATTTTTATTAACCTTTTTTATGGTAAAGTTGGAAACTTGCAGTGGCGATTAAACTCTCACCGCGATTAAAGGTCGCAGAGTAAAGTGCAAAACGACACTACTTGCGTTGCTAGAATAGTGAATCGCTTTTTAATCTAGTTGAAAGCCACGTTTCCAGACAACTATGGTTTGGTGAACTCCAGATCATTCCAACTGCGCATTTATTCACAAAGAACAATAATTGAAAATAGAATTCAATAAATTTAAAAAATTATTGCTCGTCATGAAAAGTTCTCTTTCAAAAAAGCAAATGATTGATGAAAATATTTTCTAGATCTAGAATGTTTTAAATAATTTATGGATCATTAAAGTTTTATTTGTCTATTACATACAGAGCAAGAGTTTTCAATAAAAAAAAATGTTACTGAATGTTTCCAAAATTTGATTTATTACGATAATTGAATTCTCTATCAGGATAAAGGCATTGAGACATGTGACTGCAACGAGCACGGAGCGATGTGAATGGAGGCGACTTTATTTGATTAATTGATTTCAAGATGACCATCGTTAGTAAATAAAATTTCAATGACGCAGAGAGTCTGCAGAGCCGGGGACAGCAGAGCTCGGCACTCGTTCGTTATCACAGTTTGGTTGCTTCACCATCGACGGACGTTGGATACGACAAGTTAGTGGTGATTTGAGACTGGGATTTTTTGGCACCTGCGACACGCGGACAGTTTGATCAATGAATTCTACGTGAATCATGGCAAACATGATTAAAACATTGTTGCTGCTTCTCTACGGCAGTTTACTATCAGCAGGTAGGGTGTGATTTTTTTAAATCCTTTATAAAAAAGCCAATGTAAAAGGGGAAAATAATATTTCATTAAATGAAACTATTTCCATCGTAAAATAGTAAATTATTGGAAAAAAGATAAAAATGCAATGTGTGCAATTCTGTATAATTTTTCCCCTGCAAATTCTCGATTGCGGCAATTAATTGAGCGATGTGTAAATAATTATTCATGATATTTCAAGCTGTGGAAATTATTTAATTTGGTTCGCAATAATTCCTCTCGTCAGAAAATTCGTAAAGCCCGAGTAATGATTCAATTTTTATTTTATTATATACCTAAAAGAATTTTTCTTGGCCTAAATCTTCTACATAAGGGAGTATAAATAAAATGTATAGCACGAATAAACATAAATTTTAAAAGTAAATCTGGATTAACGATGAACCTCCAGTGAGTGAAATTTAATTTTTTGTACATTAGGATGACCTCGTTTACTTCAAAATATATACGATTTTAGTTCATGCGATGGAGCTTTAATTCTTATAATTTTTCTCACAACTGGAAAATTACTGTTTTAAAACATTTAATTTTTTGTACAATTACGTAATATTGAAAAATAATTTAAAAAATAACAAAAACTAATTTATAATATATTTAATTTTAAAACTTTATAAAAATAATTAAAAATTAATTTAAAATTTATATAATTTCACTGTAAATACTTGACAAATCAATTAAAATTTATTGGATCTGAATGCAAAATTTATTTTGAGACGGCGTTGTCTTAGTCATTTCCGTTCAACTGTTGCAACAAATAACAAACAATTTAATGGGTCTGCTATGATCGCGCGTTTGAGAGGATGGTCAGGCACAAAAGGCTGCAGGGGCCCTTTCAAGAGCCGCGATTCGGCCGCCCGCTATTATTATGCACTCGTGATCACTTCAAACTAAAATACAGTCGCAATCGAGCAGTCAATGTGCTGTACTTGTTTTTCGTTATTGAATGATAAAAAAAATTGCTGATGCTCTCTTTTACAAAGAATGTTAATAAATATTATTTTTTTATTGAGCGCTGCAATTTTTAATGTTTTTTGTATCATTTATTTTTTTAGGTCGAACGACACCGACGCAATGCTCGACGTATTGCACAGGTGAGAAAAATTTTGATCGCATTTTCGGCTAATATAATTTTGCAAATAATTTCACTGAAGACAATTCACTCAGCCTGGAAAAAGGCTCAACCCTTGAGTATTCCTACTCAGGATGGGCGGAAACCACGCTGAGACCGCACAGCTCTCTTAAAGAAGACCACGACCCCTCCTCGGGTTTGCTGCTCAACGCGACCGTGGTCATTAGGGTGGTGTCGCCTTGTGAAATATCGCTTAAGGTCAGTTCAAGAATGTGATGACATTTATTCAGAGCAAACGCCACAAACGCGGAAATTTTACTAAAAATCCAATGCTACAAAAATTAATTATGCAATTAAAATCATGATAAAAAAAAACATTTTTAATATAATAATTTTCCAAAACTGGTTGTAGGATTAAATAAAATTAGAAGCAGCAAAAAAAAAATGCTTTAGCGTAAATCAGTGTAAATTGATTTATTTTTACTCTCAATAAAATTTAATTTTGGATCTTAATAATAAATAATTATAATAACACCTCCAATTTTCCCTCATCGAACGATTTCCTTTAGCTAAAAGACGTCCAGCTTTCTGGAGAAAGCAAGGGCGCCGTTTATGCTGACCTTTTAACCCACGACACCGTGAGAGCATCGATTCAAGGAGGCAACGTTGAGACCGTCTGCAGTCCGCAAGGCACAGACACAGCCGGATATCGATGGGCGCTCAATGTGAAAAAAGCCATCCTGAGTGCCCTCCAGCTGCCCTTGAGGGCACTTGACTCCTCCGAGATCGCGACCCTTCATGAGGTATGAAGCATGCAGCGCAGGTTGCATATCCTCATTTATGCAGGCGCTATGAATAACAAGCGATGAGTGAAGGGAAATTTAGTTTCATTATTTCTCCCATATTATTTTTTATTAAAATTTTTTGCTCTCAAAATTTGAAACCGAATTTATTGATTGTGGGATATTTGATGATTTTAACGACTCGTGATTTTGTTATTTGTTTTGGATGATTTAATGTAGACGGACGTATCAGGAGTATGTAGAACGCAATACCAGAGTTTGCAAACGGAGAATTCAACGCTGGTGACGAAAACCAAAAATTTAGCACACTGTGCTGGAAGAAGTGGAAATATCGACCTGGAAACGCCTTCGGCAGGTTTTAAAAGCAGTCCAGCGCAGCTCTTGAGGTATTAATAATTTAAAACTCGCAACATGCGATTATATTTTTTTTATCAAGGGGAGAACAACACTGCATAAAAACTGTTTCCGGAGGCCGGCTCCTTTTCTCGCACTGCAAAGAGGCCCACGTTCTTCAACCCTTTTCAACCAACAATGGCACTGACGGTGTGACCACAACTGTTCACCAAACTCTTGTCTTGGAAAAAGTTACTGAAGGTGAAAAATGAAATATTTATAAAACAAAAAATTTTAAAATATGCATATTTTTTTCTTGAAGATGAATCAGCGATTGAAAGCCTCCCTTTAACATTCACTCGCTCGTCCCTCCTTTTTGAGCACGGCGATCACGAGGATATTTTGGAAAACGAAAAGCGATCAGCAGAGGCTCTACTTGAGGCAGAGATTCTAATCAGAGAGCTTTCCGGAGATTCGGCAAATGTGAAAATTAGGCCGGAATCAAGCAAATTATTTGGAGAGCTCGTGAGAGTAATGGATAAACTTGATGAAAATCACCTGAGGTTGCTTGTGGCCGAATTAGAAATGAACAACGTGGAGAGGTTTGTTTTTCTCTGTGCTCAGAATTTTTTTTTTTTTTAATTATATTATTTAGGGATTTCGTAATGGACGCATTGCAGAATCTGAACAACCAGGCAGGAATTACAATAATAAGTGCGCTGTACATGGAACGTGAAAAGCAAATTCCCAAATTGAAATTGTGGCTCGAATCGAAAGCTGCCAAGTGGTTCGCCTCGCTGGCCTATTCTCACAGAGTCGATGACATCTCTATTAGAAATCTCAACGTATAAATTGATCTGATTTTTTTCCACGGAAAATACAAGTTAATTGTTAAATTGCAGAAATTGCTGGTTTACACGTTTATGGGGCACACGCCGGAGTCGGACGTTTCCAGCATCGTTTTGGGAATAACGGGATTGGCGCGAACGTATTGCGAGCAAACTGGCGGAATGGCCACTTGCGAGTTGCGAATTTACGAAATAATTTCAACGCTCGAGCAGGTGCTTCTGCCAGAATTCCATGCAAGTGAAAAGATCAGGATAATTGCAATGAAGGGACTTGGAAACATCGGGGTTTTTATCACTGGATCAACGCATTTGCAAGAAATTATTTCGGCAAGTATTTTATATTTAAATGACGCAAAAAATTATTTGAATTTTTATAGAACGAATTATTGAGCATTGACGAACGGCTGGCTGCTCTGGATGCGTTTAGGAGAGTCCCGTGCTCAAAAATAGACGCTTCTACGTTTCTGGAAATTTTTGCAGACACCAATCAGGATACGGAAATTCGCATAGCCGCATATTTGACGACGGTCAAGTGCCCATCGCCGGCAATTGTTCGAGCAATCAAAAAAGCTTTATACTCAGAAACTGTCAATCAAGGCAAGGCTTAAAATATTACACATAAAATTTAATATAATTATTATTAATTAAATTTAGTTGGTTCTTTCGTTTGGACTCATTTGACGAACAGTCAGGAGTCAACTGGAAAGGGAAGACAAGTTTTACGCAGTCTATTAGCGAACGAATTTCTGCAAAACAAGTTTAGAACTGATGTGCGCCAATTTTCTCGCAACTTCGAAGGCTCGCACCATTTTGAATCGCTTGGACTTGGTGCAAATGCTGACTCGAACATAATTTTCTCAACAAAGTTAGTTTATTCATCATTTAATTAAATTATTAATTTGTTAATTTATTTATTTAAAACAATATTTTAGATCTTACTTGCCACGTTCAGCCATGCTTAATTTGACGGTGGATATTTTTGGAGAGTCGATTAATTTGCTTGAAATTGGAGGCAGAGCACAGGGATTCGAACCGATGATAGAGAGATTATTTTCCAAGAAAGGCGTTTTTGAAAATGAAGCTTTGGAGAACTTTTTGAAAAACGCCCGCAAGGACGAGCAATACGACAGCATAATGAACATCACCACTGTGATGCAAAAGGGAGTCAAACCGAGGGCGAGCGGCTACCTTCGATTCAACGGACAAGAGGTCAGCTTTCTCGAACTCGAGGACGTCCTTCAAAATGCTTATCAGTTCAACATTCACCCCAGAGAATTGATAAAGAGTCTGTTGAGCAGTAGGGAGTTCGAGTTTGCCAGATCGGAGGAAATTTTGAACACAAAAAGGGAATTTCCCACTGTTATCGGTTTGCCTCTGAAATTGGCACTCAACGGGACGTCCAGTGTCAACCTTGCGCTCAAAGGTCACTTTGAGAAAAGTAACGCCGGCTTCGAAATAAGCGCCTATTTCAAACCGAGCGCCAGTGTTGCTCTGACGGGAACAATGTCAGTCGGACAGGATGACTTTGAGCAGGGAGTGAAATTTGAAACCACTTTATTCACGCAAACAAGTTTGGACAACAAGTTAATTATTTCAAATGAGGGCAAGATCAACTTTAAATCACAAGTCCCTGAGGAAAAGCAAACGTTGATTGATTTGAAAACTGAAAGGCTCATTTTCAACGGCGAGCGTGTTAAAAAATTACCCGATTTAGTGGCGCAGAGAGAAACCTCGAGTTTTTGCACCGGCGAATGGGTCGACGGCCTCCTGGGACTCAAGTTCTGCTCTGATATGAGCTACCCTAATTCCACCCTTGAGGAAAAAACACCATCTTACCCTCTGAACGGCGACTCGCACATCATCGTGACCGTTGAAAAAACTGACCCCACATTCAAGGCGTACGAATTTACTTCGTCTTGGGCGCACATTCCGGGACGCAAATACGACTACAGCGTTTCCTTTGACCGAGTGGGATCGGAATTGCCCGCAAAGCGTAGATCAATCACGCTTGTTTTTGACAGAGAGGCTGGAGTGGCGGTGGCCGCGCTGGATATTCCCGAAAAGCAAGCGGAAATTTCTGTTCTGTGGGACGGAAAGGATTACTCGGCAGCGGAAGTATCAATTTCTTACGATCGAGTAAATTACGTTGAAGTTTTGGCCAAACTGGATCATCAAAAGAAAATTATGCCCGGCACGAAGGAGCAATTTGGAAAAATTGAACCAGAAATAAAATTCAAAGTTCAAAACTTTCCCGAGTTTTATCTCAAAGGCATCATCAATTATTCAGGAAAATCTAAGGTAAAATCAAGATTATTTTTGTGTGTTTAATTTAAATTTAAAATTATTGCAGTTCACGGCTGACCTTAATGTAGCCGGTTTGACTCAAAAGCCTCTTGCGTTCGCCATTGATTACAACGCGGACGCCTCTTCAGGTGCAGTGAATGCCAGGGTGAGCGTCGATTCGCAGTATATAACGTGGGACGTGAAAGCAAACGCCAAAATTACTCCAAGTACTCTTGGTCTACGAGTGAATGGGGTTTACAATTTGACATCCGAAGAGCACCACTCACTCGAAATTATGGCTAAATACAACTGGAATCAACAAGGCGCGCTAAAAAGAGGATTTTTAAATTTGAAATCTCAAGTATAAATTCAGAAAAATATCTAATTTATATTTAATTTAATTTGTATTTTGAACAGCTTTCTCAATGGCCGCAGTACAGTGGTCAACTGCAGTCTGACGTGATGCTGAGCAAAGGATACTATGAAGGAAACTTGAGACTAACATTGACGAACGAGGAATGGAACGTCACTCAGCGCTTCCAAGCAACGGGAGGTGCTGACGTGTGGATAAAGCAAACAATTGAATGCCCTAAAAGAAGTATCAACTTTCTCCTCGAGCACAGGCACAAAGTAAACTTTTGAAAAATTAATATAATTTCCTGTTTTTAATTTTGAAAATTTTCAGTACATTCCTAACGTATTTTCAACTACGTCTCAACTAAATGTGGACCAAACAAGGAGCGCAAATTTTCATCTGGACTACAAGTACATTCAGGGTGACGGAATCACTTTTTCGGCCGAGTCAGCACTGCTTTGGCCGCGCATCACCTTTTCCACTGGCATTGGCCCAAATCTCAAATCCAGGGTGCGGCAAGTTTTGCCAGGCGAGTACGACGCGTTTTTGACCACGCAATGGACGGAGACTCGTGAGCCCGTCATAATTAAAGCAGTTTACAAAGACAAAAGCAGCCATAAAAAAATAAGCCACTTTCTGAACGGCACCATGACCGGCGCATTTGGATTTGCGGAGAACAAGGAATTAGGAGTGCAGGGGAATTTCGAGGCTGTAAACCAGTTGGCCAAAATTGAGGGCCGCGTGGCCGTTGGTGGCGAAAAGAAGAGCGAACTTACAGCGAGTTATGAGGTGGATAAACTTGGCAAGAAAAGTATGGCAGCAAAAATGAGCGTCTTTCCTACTTCTTTGGCGAAAAAAGACTACGAAATATTTGGCTCGTACTACAAATCGCTTAATGAAATGGCACTTTCCGTTGATTTGGTTATGAGCCGACATCTTTCATTCAAAATTAGTGTAATTTGACCACAAACGTTAAATTTCACTTGTATTTATTTTAATGCGTGTTTCAGACGAGCAGTGATAATGACGAACTAGCTCTTTTCTGGGACAAAGCAAACGATACCAATAAAAATGTCACATTACTCATTGAGTATCCAAGATTGAATGAGTTTGCCGCAAATTTAATGGTTCCCGGACAGAACATCTCCGTCTCTGGACATCTCCGGCAAATCAGCTCAGCCAGCAAAAGTGATGACACGACCCAATTAAGGTGATTTTACAATGTTTTTAATTATTTTATTAATTAATTGAAAATTTTAGCGGTCATGCACTTGGAGCAAAACTGAAATGGTATCCAGGAAGAGAAATTTTCTTCTCGGGAAATTTGAAAGGAAATTTTGAATTGGGAATCGAGACTTTGGCTGAAATTGGAGTTAAAAACGTTCCTGTCGTCGGCTCGCAATTCAGAGTTTTTGAAGTGGAGTTCGTTCCTCCTCGAGAGAAAAATGGAAAGTTGGTTTTCCAGCATGCGTGGAGAATTGGTGAGAAGAGGCTCGAGAATTTGGAGGCCAAAATTTTGATTGAGAAACGCAGAAACGACTTATCATTGGAAGTATTTTTGCATTCAACAGTTTGGAATCCAAAAAATATCACAGTAAGTAATTACAACTTACTAAAACTATAAATTTACCTCTGCTTTTTATCAATTAGGGAAGCGTGAAAAGCACATTTAATAATTGGAGCGATTTGAATGCAAACGTGAGCGTTAATTATGGAGAAAAAAGGATTTATTTTGCTTGCGATTGGAATTTAAGCCACGGTGCCAAATTTGAGGTTCAGAGCAATTTGGAAAGGATTTCTTCAGCTGCTCTAGAGCTGCAATATAACATTCCTCATAGTTCTAAGTCTGGAGCACTAAAGCATTGGATTACGTTAAAGAACGCCGAGAGTATTTGGAGCGCTAATGTCATCTTAAAAAATAATAAAACATTATTTGCTGGAGATTACGGTACATAATATTTTAAAACTGATTGAAAATTACATTAAAATAATGTTAATTTAATTAAAATCAATTTTATTAAAAAAAATAATAATAATGATTAGATTATATTATCTTATCATACTTGATTATGTTAATTTTTTTTTAAATTTAATTGAAATAAATTTTATTAAAAAAAGAAATTAATAATGCTAATAAAGAAAATAAAAAATACGTTAGTTAATATTACGAATTATTTTTCAGAGCTGGAATTTAATGTCATAACACCAATGGAATCCCTTGAACGCCACTTTTTAGCCGCCGCGCTACGTTGGGACAAAAAAGAAATCGATTGTTCGGGTCAACTCGAAACTCCTCTGACTGGCAATTTTGCTTTTCAGTTTGCAAATCGGCAGCTGGCTGAGTCACAAAAACATAATGGAAAGCTTTTAATCTTCTCATCAGATAAGTTGGTGATGGAATTGGAAATATTAGCAAAGCGCATACCCATTGACCGAGGATTGGATGCGGAAATCATTCTGCAAGTGCCGGAAATTTTACACGTAAAAAGCGAGGTTCTGGTTGATATCAAGGAACGTGGAGGGAGCGGAAAAATAAATTTCTTCAACCAGAACAGGCTGCTGCACGACATTAGGCTCAATTTTCAGCGCGAACACCAAAACGACTCAGTGAAATTCGACTTGGACTTTTCTGGTTACAGTTATCTCCTCATGGCATCAAGGTGGAAGCTGAAAGTAAAGCACGAAGGCACCAAACAAAACCACACAAGCTATCTAGAAGTAAACAAGTTTACATTGGACCATAAATTCGAGTACAACAAAGATGACGAGAGTTGGAAATTCGAACTGAAGGGAATTGCTGACAATAGAGACGTAATTAAGGTTTCAATGCAGCATTACAACTGGCTGTTCTGCAAACATTTTATCAATATAATGGGCAAGGAAGTCATTGATATAAATTCACACGCTGAACAAGGTTTCGTGCACCTTAACTTTCTGGACAAAATTTTACAAATCCATACGCGGATCACGGATGCGGATGAGATTCAGACTGCCACCAAAATCTTTGCCAATCACAAACTTTACGCCACAGCAGCTACAAGCACTTTCCTTAGGTACAAAGAAAATGACGGCGGACTTGAATCTGCCATTATAAATGTGAATGTTGATGCTAACCGAAATAACGCAAAGTTGCAAGTTAACGTCGACGCTTGGCGGCGCGTTACGACAAAGGTTTCATTGAGTTACGACATTCATAAGGTCGTCCTAGACGTTGACGTCCTCTCAGCCAACAACACCATTGACTTTTCATACTACCAGGATAATATACCGTCCATAAAATTGCAAACTTTTGTGTATTACGAACTGCCATCTGCAGCTGTTGGGCTTGATATACAATCAGATAACTTTCTAATGAGAATTGATGGAGAGGGCACAATGGACGAGGAAATGATGATTTACGCCACCGGAATGTTTGATTTCAGCGGGGACTTTTTAAATATTTGCCCAATTAACATCGAAGCGGAGTGGCAGTTGCCAAAAAGTGAGGTGATCCAAACCGGCGGCAGAATATTAGTTAAATCTAGGAGAAATTCTACAATACTTTTGAAAGGGCACCTCAACTACGAAGAATTCAACAAACACCTAAATGGCTCAATTCTCTTTACATCTGGAAACGAGGAGGATTACCATGAGAACAAATATGAAGTCCTCTTAGCTCACCAGAGTTTAGACAAGCAGTACCTTTTGGCCCAGTACAAATTCAACGATGAAAAAGTGGAACTAGAAATAATGCTCGCAGAAATGTTGTTTGAGGCAAAACTTCTCACGCCTGTGGAGGATTATCAATATTTAAGTTTAAAAGCTGGAGTGGCGGAACGTTCGGCAGTTGAAAAGCGGTTTCTGGAGTACATAAAAAACGACTACAAATTAGAAGCCGATTTGATCTTCAACAAGAATAAAGGAAAAAGTAAAATGCTTGCGATTGCCAAAGCAAACAATGGATTTGAAGTGGAAGCTGTAGTGGAAAAAATCGAAACTGATGCTTCAACGGACGTTTTCATGACGATCGAGCTGAACAAGGCTAACAGAGTAGAGGCAGGAGCACTTTTGGAATATGAATTAGGAAACCTCAACATTACTGCTAATGTAAGAATAAAATCTAGTCATAAAAATTATTGGAAACAGTTTAAATCATAGTTATTAAATTCATAATTTAATAAAATTACAATTTAAATTGGAATAAGGAATTAATTATAAATTATATTTTTATAGGTAACGAGAGACGGAACTACACAGAGAATGCGTTCAAGGATTTACAATACAGAGCAACTAAAATCTTTTGCAATCATGAGCGAGTTCATGGAAAATGTTTTTGAGATGGAAATATACTCATCAGTGGACAGCGAAATTGCTTACGAGCAAGGCTTTAAAATCGCAACTCAAAGTTTAACATCAGAGTTTCGATATGAAAAGAGCGAAAATATATCAATCGCCTACTTGCAATATCAAGAACAGGTTCTGCAATGTGTGATAAAAGGAAATACAATGCTCGGAATGATGAGCATTTCACATAAAAACAGCAAAGTATCGTCAGATATTCAGTTGGATTTTGATTTTGAAGACAAAATTAACGTCGAAATGTCTGCGTACTTGAACAAAAATCTAGATGATTCAGAAAAAAGTGAACCTTTAAACTTCAAGGCCAACATTGATCCTAGCTCAGGGACTCTTCACCTAAGTATGAGACACAGGCTAATAAAATATTTGCTAGAAGGAACTTTTCAACAAAACGAAGAAAATATAAAACTTGACGCTGCTCTGATCACGCCGTACTTTGAATCAACTCGATTAAACGTCAGCTATGATTTTGAGAATAACAAGAGGATAATTGAAATTCACTTTGAGTACGGAAAAGACTTTTACAATTTAATTTCCCACGTTCATGTCGACGGTTCCTACTCTTTTAATTTGAATATGGACGCAAAATCATCAGTTCCTGATTACGAGACAATGAAGGTAAGAGGCGAGTTTAAAAATAGCGATCAATTTTCTGGCGTCTTGAAATTGGAACTACCAACAAATACCTACATCTTATCAATTGAATACAAACAAGGAAAGAGTTGCAGTTTCAAATTGGCAACTGATGATAACGTATATGTTTTAAACTACGCAAGTCAAGCAAATGGAGTGAATTTAATCGAATTTTACCGTGACAGCAGACAATTGTTTAATGCTACATTTGTCGTGGCCAATGAAACTCTGCTAACAACAATTATGACGCCTCATGAAAAGTATAACAATTTGACGCTTTATGTTGGATATGGATCTAACTTGCCGAACAGAAATTTAATCATACACAAAAATAATGATGTACTTTTCAAAGCCCACATGTATCCAATTGACCAAGGAGATATAATTGGAGGAACCGGAATAATGGCTACGATTTATCAAGGTGACCAGCAATTCGTGTATGATGCTCAGTTTTCTGTAGATAATCCTGTGTACATTGTCCTCAAGCAACACGAGGCTGGAAATGTTTCTAGGGATATTTTGCATTTTAGCCTGAATGTCACCAATGAAAGTTCAGCTTCTGGAAGGGCCGAAATTCTTCTCCCGCTTTCTCCTAACACAAAGCTTTTAGCAAAGGGTCAAATTCAAATTGAAAACAAAAACGCAGAATTCAAAATGAGTTACAAGTTTGACGAAGAAGAGGAAAACAATTTCGCAATTCATTACAAGACTTTCACGGACCACTACAACATCTACAATATTGTGACTAACATGACAACCCCTTTCAAAGGTTACGAAAGCATGTCACTCGCCATTACTAGCAGCTGGACAGAGACCGTGGTTAAATTTAGCAGTCAGTTGCCAGGGTATGAAAATATTGCTTTAGTGGCGGTGCATAGATTAGAGGGGCCACAAAAGGAGCTATGGGTGCAATTTCAGAACATGAAAAAAAGTATTTTCTATGTGAAAGCCCTATTTCTAAATGAAGCGAATAACAAGAGAGTTGAACTAAAAACAAGAACTCCATTCTTGAATGGCCAAGCTTTAGCTTCTAACAATGGAAGTGTAATGGAAATCATGCTAGAACACGAAGGCATCACTCTTGTACAGATTGTGTCAAAATTGGAGGAAATCGTCAATGGCAAAAAATATGAGTTCACTTTTAAAAAGCCCGAAAGAGTGTTCCTTCTTGAATCACGTTTTGTTAAAGAGTTAAATATTGAATTTTCGCTTAACACTCAGTTAGACAATGAGCTGATAGCTGGTGTGATATTCAAACTTGACGCGTTAGGAAAAATCGTTTCTACATTGAAGCTTATGGATCATTCGGTATACAAAATAAGTGGTACACTTAGTTGGCTAAAAAAATCACTTGATATACACATAACAAATGATATTGATTTCAATCTTGCTATTGATGCAGAATTGCGCAATATAGGCCACTTAAAAATATCTTCTGACAAAATTCAACACGCAATACAAATTGGTTGGAAATTTACTGACGCAATTACTAATTTCAATCTCACGCAAGGAAACGCTTTGGATTTGAACTTTGAAGCAACGGATTCTAGCGTTCAATTCAAATTTATAAAATCCGAAAAAGAATATTCTTTTGCATTTGGGCAAACAAGGGCAACTGGCTGGCCTAATATTTTATTGAAAATTGTTTGGGATAGTGAAACATTGATTGACTTCCTCCACGATTTTCTGACAGACCATCAGTTCTTAATAGTAAGGACAAAATTAACGTCGCCATTTTTGGGAAATCATAAGAATATGAAATTCAGCCTAACTTTGAAGACGAAGGATCGGATCGAAGTGGAAGCAGAATTTAAGTGGAGGCCAAAAGATTTTACTTTGTTCAACGCAGCTCTGATAATGGGAGACCTAGCGTCAACTGCATCTCTTTCGTTTATATCTCCCTTCTCTTCAAACTTTACATTCAACGCGCAATATGACTTCTCCGGCATTGAAAAAACTTTTGAAATTATCTACTCACTCGTGGATATTGTTTCACTTCAAGGTGCAATAATACCCTCCGGAAATGACCAATCAATCACAATCAAACTGAAAACACCCATAGAAGGATACACGTACGTAGAGTTGAGCGGATTCCACAAAGTGATTGGCAAAACGCAACGAGCAGAATTGCAATTAGTGAGAGAGGATCAAAAGAAAAGCGTTGAGATTAATTTTGATGGCCGCAATGTCAGAGCCACTGTAAACACTCCCGAAATGAGATGGTCAATAATTGCAAACTACTTATATACTCAAGACACACACAAAGTTGAAGGAAATGTAAAATGGGGAGGCGCTAAAGATGTGATGATGTTTGAGACGCATTTCAAGCCAAGAGAAATCCTTTACATTAGATTTACAGGACCACAGAATGAAGTGCACAAGCTTGATTACAAAATGACGTGGACTAAGGAGAAAAAGACTATTGAAATTGCTATGCAGAAAAATAAAGAAATTGCAGAGTTCAATGGAGGTTTGACAACACAAGAAAATTTGCACATTTTGGTCGCACACATGAAAATGAGCACGTTAAAATACATAAAAGTTTCTGCAATATTAAATTCCAAGACAAATGAATTAGGAGGAGCAATTCAAATTGACGAGGATGCTTATTCAATGAAGGCCAGTGAAGTTATTGAAAATACATACAACATAAAGGTTTTTGATGGCGAGACGGAAAAAATGGAACTAAACGTTGCCTTTGATGGAGAGTATCACGAGGCTCTGAAAATTTTGGTGAACTGCATTACACCCAACTACAAGTTTACAACAGAGGGCACTGTCACTATAACAAATGAAAAATTGCAAATTTCCACTTCTATCACGTGGGGTGACGAAAATGAGAGGATATCATTTTCTTACAAAAATTCTGTAAGCACGGAAATCAAGTGCATGCTCAACACAGCAAATGTTCAAGATAGCGAAATTTACTTGTCATTTGGCACCAATTTTGTCAACGTATTTCTCAGAAACCAAAGTGACACTTACAAAGCCGGCGTGACTTACACATTGAATGAAATTTCCTCAATCAACGGTACTTTTGAAGTTAATGGTAAAAATTATGAGCTTGTCTCATATTATGATCCAATGGATATCAAAATACATGTTGTTTATGTTTGGCCTCTAGAGCAAAGAATTGCAGTCACTGTAGTTTTAAAACCTGGTAACATATCACTTATGTTAAAGACGCCATACATACATTTTACAAATATTCAAATCAATGGAAAATATTCAGAAGTTTCAACGTACAACGACTATCAGTTGGCAAGCAAGGCAGATGCAAAGTGGAATGATTATTTAATTTCGCTCACAGGCGTAATTAAAAAGTCTCACAATAATTACGGTTTGGATGGCAGTTTAGTTTGGGACAATGCAAATGAAATTAAGCTTAACTTCGGAGTGATTGATAATAAGTTTGTCAACTTTGAACTGAAAACGCCCTTCAAGGGTTTGCCAATTTTCTCAGCCAATTTAGAAGCACTGAAATACCGCCATGCAGTGACAGGAATTAGCGGAAAAATACAAACACCTTTTGAAAAATTGCCAATTCTCCAATTCATTTTTAACCGAGCTGATGAAATTATTGAAATGCAATTTGCATTTGATACGGCCACGTACAAAAACATTTCTATACACACAAAGCTGACAAGCAAAAATTCAAAGTATTTGTTTATGCAAATCAATGCCCCATTTGTGAGCAAGGTGAAGTACTTTGTAGTTGATGCTCGCTCAAATAAATTGATAGGTAAAAATGGGCAAACAACCAAGATCACATTGCAGTTAGATGAAAAACTGTACGAAATTGAAAACAATTACACGGTTTTGAATGGAAGACTTAACAGCTCCGTGTTTATGAAGGGGCCATCCAATAAAAACAACCCAATTAACGTCAACTTTGGTGGTAAATTTGAGATGAACTCTTTAGATGACCTGGAAATGGAGACTTTTTTCAATGAAGCTCTGCTTGGACTGCAATATAAATTGGAAAAAGATTTACAAATCAAATTAAAAGTTCACCTTTCGTCTGTCATTGCATTGCCAAAAACGGAGTTTGCTCTTCATATAGTTCGTAGTAGCCACTTTGAGGGAAAAATTGATTACTCATATGGCAAATACATTGGAAATGCTCTCGTGAAAAACAAGTTCCAGAACAGCACACTCGAAACAATAATGTATCTCAATTTGCCTCAAATACTAAAATACCCTCTCCAGGTACAACTTACTGCAAACTATATTCAGCCTCGGCTTCAATTTAATGGATTTGCAAGTTATATGGCCCAACACCGTTTAGAATTGATCATGGTGCAGACTTCCTTCAGAACGACATTAAATGCCAAGCTGGATAGTGCTTTCTTCAAAGGAACCAACAACTTTGAACTCATTTTGAGCTCAGGGACTCTGAGCGTCTCAATGAACGACGAAATAAAAATCACGGGGCTGAAAAACCTAAATCAGCTAGTTCTCACACTAAGCCAAATTTCCAAGAAACAGGATCACTCATTAACCTACGAATGGGATCTAACAAAACCACCTACGTTTGAAGTTACACTCGAATCTCCAATTTTGACGTCAAAGAAAGCAAAGTTCTCTGCAACGTACCTTGGTGCGTTAAAGGGAGTTAATATCAAACTTGTCTCTGGATCAGAATCACTGAAACTGGATTATGACGTCATTAACAAAAACAACTCTAAGGGAATCAAAATTGTGATAGGCAATTCACAAGCACAGATACTAAACTTCGCAGCTTATTTAGAGCAAGTACCTAATGGAAACAAATTGCTTGCTGAGATGACCCTTTTTGAAATAGTTTACAAAGCTGCGTTCAAGTACAGTCTCCCTGATCAAAATAAGAACCCAAAATTAGACGCTGATTTGTTTTTGAGTTTGCCCTACTTGTTCCCATTTAAGCTCCTTAGCTTGAATCTGAAAACCGGAAAAGATGGCAATGCTTATTTCATTTTGTCTAACATATCACTTGATAATGAAAATATTGATCTAGATGGTCTAATGACAAATGATCTCATTAAAGTTGAGATTTCAACGTCATTCGAGGAATTGAAATCCCTACTATTAGAAGCCGACTACAGCTACGTTGGAAATAAAAAAAGCATAAACATTAATTTGTTCACAAACGACTCGGAAACCCTCAAAACAAACATATCGTTTCACCATCTATCTAATGGTTTCATATTGCAAGTTGACTCTGAATCAGTAATTAAAAATTTTGAAAAGTTGTCTCTCAAACTGACCATTCCATCAGAAATACGATACAGCCTACAAGCTAGCCTTGAATTAAGGGGAAGTACTCATTTTGATGGTCAAATGATGTTCTCATCAAAACCTGGATACACCAATCTCGAGCTGAAATTCACCGGATTGTCCATTAATATGTACTTGACGTCAAATCAAGGTTTCTTTGGCTACAAAACCAAATATGACGACTACAGCATGAAAATTTATTCTAAATCATCCGGCCATCAATTAGAAAGCGAAGTTACATTTAACAGTGGACAAGTTCAACTATTCAAAGCTGGACTATTCGGCATGTACAATAACCAGACAGATTTTTACGTTTTGATGAGCACGAATTCCATCTACGAAACATTGCCCGATACAGTTTTCTATGTTGGGGCAAAAAAGACCGAGATTAAATTTGGAACAGAGCTTGACTACAAGTTGGGTGAAAAGGAGTCCTATTCTGTGATATTGAACCATTTTATCGAGAGCACAACTGACTTTGATATTGGATTGATGATCGAGAGCTCAAAGAAAGAAGCATTTATTGCAAAAATCAAACACGTTTTGAAAGACGATTTTTACATTGCTTTTGCTCAAGTCAACAAAGACATCATCAAAATTACTAAAATCAACCAAAATTCAGCTACTTTGCTGTCCGGAACGGTGCATTGCGATGACTTTGACAGTGAGGTCAGCGGAAAATTGGTAAATGAAGAAAAAAGTAAAGGCATTGACTTGAAGCTCACTTGGAACAAGGATCTGTATCAAATTGGAGGCAGCTACAACTACAGTGAAAACGAATTTATCATTGTGAAATTCCATTTAAATTCACCGCAAACTCAGCAATACACTGGCGCTTTTGAATACAGCGAACCTGCGAATCTCTACATTTTGCTCGACCAAGACCAATCTCCACTATTGATTGTTGAGCTTAACAGCGAAAAAGTTCGCTCTAAGTACTTGTTGCTCAATACCACAGACGTAAAATTAATGCTCAGCGAGTACCATCACAATTCTGCATATGAGCTCCTTGCTAGTGTCTTTTATGATTCGAAAACAATCAAATTCCAATATGATTCAGACACTTTTCCTGAAAGCCCTGATTCTTACAAAATTAACGCAACATTTGTGGCTCCACAAAGAACTGTAGGTTTCAATTTAGAAAAGTACTTAAGTGACAATCATAACGTCAGCCAGTTTTACATTTGTTGGGAAAATCTGTATCGGCGAGTTGGCTACACGATTGACATCACCAAAGATCAATACAAAACAAACCTGAAAACTGCAATCGAAATTCCAAACAGGGCGATAGATTTCAAAACTCACTACAAACTTATGGAAATACCAGAAGAGGTTATGGACTTTGAATTTGGCGTTCAATTTAATTGGAATTCAAAGATGCGTCTACTCCCGCTTACTTTCGTTACGACAGTCAAAGTTGACCACGAACAGAAAGTTGCGTACCATTATACTGTTCTAGCACACCCTTCATTTAACAGCAGCTACGTGATCGACGGCAAAATGACAAAGCCCAACGCCTACGACAACTTTTTTGCTGTAAAAATGGGACAGGTAGAGAATGGAAAAATGTCACCTGCACTGACGTTGAAAATAAATGCGACCAGAAAGTCATCTTCGAGTCAGTACCACTTGACCATTGAAAATCCGCGATCAGAAATTTACCAGCAGTGGGAAGTGCAAATCAACTATGAGAACGGATTGGCCGCCACGGTCACCCTTTTGCGTGGAGAATCGCGAGGCTACAGCTCAGCAATGATTAACTACGATACAGCATCAAAAAGGGTTGAAGTGGGACTAATTCACAATGAACTGACTGCAGAAGTTTTAGGCCAATTAATAACGGACCACGCAAATAACAAGTAAAATAAAAAAATTAAATTGCATTTTTGCTTATTCAAATTTCCAATTTCAAGATTTGGCGTTCACGCTTCGGCATCATTTGACATTCTGTTGCCACCGGTCACTCTAATTGTGCTAACGGAGATACCAGAAAAAAGCCACTGGCTTCTATCAGCCGAAATAAATGTAGCGCCTGAGAGGTCTTATTTAGCAGAGGTGACTATTGCATTAAATTTTAATAAAATTTACTTTTTGTGATATTTTCGAGTAGGTAAATATAAAGTATTATAATTATAATCTTTTCAAATAAATTATGTTTTTTAAGGCCAAATTCACACCGTACCACATTTCCACTTTGCTGGCCACTCAAGAATATGAAGAAACTACACCCGCCCTGCAAGCTGCTCTGACTCTAAACACAACAGATACCATTTCATTTGTCGCAAAATACAAAGCGTCTATTTGGAAAAATCTTACTCACGATCTGATAGCACCGTTCAACCATGCAAAACTCGTTACGAATGAAATACTTGCCGGAATGAAAGACGTTTTCAAAGAAGAAATTTTTGAGAAGTAAAAATGAGTTAAGTCTAAATTTTTTTAATTAAAAAATGATCTCTAGATTTGAGGCAGCCATCCAGTCGAGTACAATTAGGTCTGCATATCAAAAAATAGTTGATCACACAACCTCAGAGTTCAACAGCTTGCGCCAAGACTGGGCCAGTTTTAGACAACTTATCTTCCGGGCTTATAACAGAGACGATTTCTTTATACGGACAATCTCGGATTTTGTAAAAAATGCCTTGTAATTTGAAATTTCTTTAAGTTTCAAAATAATTGAAACGCAAATTTTTTCAACAGTGCCTACGGTCAAAGGGTTGCGTCTGACGGTTTGGAAATTGTTTGCCACACATTATGGAATTTCTTCACAGATACTATGCCAAAACTCTTGGGTACAATATACAAAAACTCGGTTGAACCACTGGTATCTGCTTTTCAAAAATTCTCCCCGACTGTGAAAAAATTCGTTCGAGACGTCTCGTCTACTTGGAACGAAATCCAACTGCGCTTTTCTAATTTCCAAAGGTAAATTATTAATAAAAAATTCACCACACTTTATATTCTCTATCAAATAGTGGCTCCGTCAAATACATTAAAGAGGGAGTTGGTAAAATCTCAAAGCATGTAGGTGATAATATCGCTTCGACTAAAAACTGGGCCAACGAGACCAAGGAGTGGATCATGAATGAATATATTGAGCCGAGCAGAGAGACACTGACTGAGATAGCAAATGCTTTGGAAAAGTTTTTTAAGGAGACAAATGGTAATTTAATATTAATAAATTTATATATTATTATAATTAATAAATAAAAAACACAGAGTTTTTCGTCGGTTTGCCGAGGCAGATTGAATTGTATTTCATGTCCCTTGATGAAGTTCAGGAGGCAATTAAAATTTACAAAAGCTATGCCTCTTGGTTTGAAGAGTTCAGGTTCTCCTATTACGTTCATGAGCTTCAAAATGAGTTGAAAATGTAAGCAGATAATTTATCATGCAAACCTTTTTATGAACAATCTGTGATTTTAGATGGTATAATAATTTCTTGGAAGATTTGCGGTGGTGCATTGGTGAGTACGCTGCTATCATTCCAAAGACTATAAGCGCAATTCAGGGCTCGTACGAAGAATTTATGCAAATGCCGTCTGTAATTTACTTGAAAATTGTTTACAGCAAAGTAAATGCAAAGGTGATTAAATACTTAATATATGTTAACACGCTTCCATAAATTATTAATGAAATTTTAGGCCAACTATTTTTGGGAGCTCTGGAACATGGAGCAGTTTGTTCAAGAGCTTTTAATCAAAATGAGTGACGAAATTGTGACGTTCATTCGCAAAATTTCCGAATCCTCAGAAATGGATTACAGGGAAAATATTTTAATAAATGAAGAAAAGTACAATTTCAATTACGACCCAATGAACGGAGAAGTCTCTGGCAGCGTCACTTTACCTATTACTTGGAAGCGGTTCGACCAAATGCCAACCCTTAACGAGGACATGAACGAAAAGTTCCAGAATTTCCGCTACTCAACCTTGGACAAAGTCTATGAAATGGGCACGACCGGTGGTTTCAACTGGAAGGACGTGGTGCTGAGAACACTAATGCCACCCTTCCGAACGAACGCATTGATTACGGTCAATGGACATGTCATCACCTTTGATGGAAATCACTATAAAATTAAAAATATGCTCTGCGGAAGTTACATTTTAGCTGCAGACTACGTCGAAAACTCGTAAATAAAAATTTAAAATATAACTAGAAAATTTATAATAAATTTGTATTCATCTCTAGATTTGCAATTGTCGCCAGTTACGGACACGAAGAGGGCAAACTGGCCGGTCACCTTTCCTATTTGACTCTCTACACACAAACAGGCAATAAGGTCACTATAGAAGTGACCCCGACTTCTTCGCGGACTGACATCGATGGACAGAGCAAGATTTATGTTAATGGCACAAAGGTATAAAAATATGCACTGGGGATCAACAAATGCATTATTTACATACATGGGTGCGCTCAACAATTTTGCGCTCGCGCTCGCGCTCGCGATCACTGGCAACAGTGCGCTCGCGCTCTGCGCTCGCGATCAAGATTTTGAAAATGTTGCGCTCGCGCTCTGCGCTCGCGCTCAAATTTTTTAAAAGTCTTGCGCTCACGCGTTGCGCTCAAAAATATTTTTATCCGAAGAAAAAGTGCGACTTTTTAGACAATTTTTTAATATAACAAAAAATACATCGGCAATTGGAAAAGATAAAGTTGAAGTTAAATTACCAAAATTGGGATCAGTTTTTTAGTTTTTGGTATAAAAACACTGTTTTTCGTTACAATTTTTGATCAAATTCGGGAATTTTTACTTTTGGTTTGAGCGCAAAATGAGCGCAATTGAGCGCTGCGCTCAGCGACCAATGCGCTCGCGCTCTGCGCTCGCGCTCACGATTTTGAAAATCGTGCGATCGCGCTCTGCGCTCGCGCTCATGAGCGCAGAGCGCGAGCGCAGATCGCAGAGCGCAAAGTGCGCTCTGCCCATGTATGATTATTTATTTTTAGGTTGAACTTCCGCTGGTGGTGGACGATTTCGAGTTTACTCGACAGGGTCCAAAAGTGGTTGCCGTGAGCGAAAAGGGTGTCGGCTTGCACTGCAACATTGTCAGTGGCCTCTGCTCACTGGACCTCAGCGGGTGGTACCACGGAAAGGTGGCGGGAATCGCTGGTTCATTTGACAAAGAACAAGGAAACGATTTTGCACAGCCTGACGGGCGAGTTCGTGAATCGGTGGTTGAATTCCTAGACGAATGGAAGGTGGGATATTTGATATTTTTTATCATATTTTTAGCTGATAAAAAATGGATTGACTTTCAATTAAATTAAAATATAATAATTTACAATAGGTGAGCGGTTCCAGTGAGTGCGAAATGCCGGTGAAAAGTAAGGCCAAGCCAAAAGATACGAGCAAGGCTGCGTGTGACCAACTTTTCACCAAAACCTACTCGGCGCTGCAGCCGTGTTTCTCGAGACTCGATCCTGAGCCCTTCAGGATAATGTGCGAACAAGATGTGACAGACGGAGTGGTCAGCGATAAAGGACCGGATTGCTTAGCCGCCGAGGCCTACGTGGAGCAATGCCGATTTGTAGGAATGGATATGTCCCTGCCCGCATATTGCTGTGAGAATTGAATGCAAATTTTTTTTATGATTGAATTTAAGAAAAAATTAATACATGTTAATTAAGTCATGCCAGGTCGCCCGTTGATCAATGCGAAATGTTGCTCAAACGTGAACTATAAAATAAAAACAAAAATAAAAATTCTTAACCCAATTTTATAGACGCTGCTGTGAAATATTTTTTTAAATTCAATTTGAATTTAGATCAGATTTTTTAATTCTGAAATTAATTTAAATTTATTTTGTAACTTTTTAAATTCAAATTTTAAAATTTTTCGGCTCTGAATTTTAATTTTTTTTTTTAAATTAGCACGCTGCCGTCTTCCTGGAAAAGTTATCCCAGCTGGCGAAATCGTGGTCTTTGACAGCTCGCCCAAGTCGCGTTCTCCGCCGCCAGCCCAAGTTGCAGATTTCGTTTTTCTGATCGAAAACGGATACGACGAGAATTGTCTGCAAGGGCCGCAGTTGTTCGACCTGCCCGCGAAAATCGACTCGGTACTGAGGTCAACTTTGGGCATAAACAGCACCAAATTTGCACTCGTCACCTTCGGTGCTGGAAAACCGTTCACCGTCCACACCCTTGACGGCAACATTTGGAGTGGCAGGCGTGGAATCCAAAACGCACTCAACAAGTCTGTCTTTGAATATTACAAAGTAAAATAATAATGGCGTTGATCCTTTTTCAGGTGGCAACTTCCGAAACCAGAGCAAGTGGCCACAAATCAAGATTTGTATCAAGCTCTTCTGGCCACAGCCTCAAAACTTCACTTCCGACCTGGCGCGTCGAAAAATTTGATTTTGGCTCCCTGCACCTCATGCGACCGATCAGAACAAACGGTTGACATGTTTTCCGAGGCTTCTGGCGTGCTCATGCTGGCTGACATTCGACTGCATGTTCTCCAGCGAGACGAGATGATGTTTAAGAGGACCATAACGAAGGTAAAGGTTGAATAAAATCTCACAAGATAGGACTTTAAAAAAAATGCTCAACAGAAAACCAAGCAGGGTAAAGTGAATCCTGTCATGGGTTTTGACACGCACGGCGCCTACACAGGCAGAAGACACAAAGGCACATCTTGGCCACTTGGAAGTAAAGCTATAATGAGACAACTTTCCTTGCCCAAGGTACAAAAAGAATTACTTAATTAAAACTTATTTTATTAAAAAAAAAATATAAAAATTATGAAATTTTTAAATTTTGATAAGCAATTGTTTTAATTTAAATTTTAATCTTATTTTTAAGGATTTATGCACTCCGCTTGCACTAGAAACAAATGGCACTCTTTTCTCTGCCTCTCGACTGTTCGGAAAAGGTTCAAGCGACGACAAGCGAAAGTGGTTGGACGTTTGGTCCAGGAGAGTGGCCAGCTCTGCAAAACCCACGGCTTGCCAAGTAAATTTTAAATTTCATTTTGATTTTGAAATAATAAAAAAATTCTTTGTTTTTAGAGCTGCGATTGCATTCCACTGCCCGACGGAAGCTCCCGCCTATCCTGTCAATCGTGTTTGCTTCCCGAGATAGAAATTTTCCTTGATGTGAGTAAAAAAAATGAAATTATATGTAAAGTTAAATCATTTAAATTAGGAATGGGAACGCGCGTTAGAGGAGGCGATGCAGGAGGATTTAGACGAAGATTATGATTCGATTGAAATGCCAGACGCGTCGGGCACTTTGAGTGACCTCGAGTCCGAGAGGGAGGCCATCAACGCGGTCAGAGATGCGATAGTTCCCGGCCACGCATTTAGATCCGACTCGGCGTGATTTCTACTCTAGAACTAACTACACAACTACTTTAATTAGATGTGAAATATGTAGGCTTGTTTGTAAAGTCAATGGAAGTTTTTATTTTGGAAAAGACATAGCAAGAAGAGACTTTTCACCACAAATACCCAGCGCATGCATTCATACAATTCAAATTTTCAACATGTTATAACAAGAATCTCGATTTGAGTCACTGTACCTAAGGTGGCAGGCCCAGAGTGCGTCGAACCAGTCGCTCGGCGATCTTGTTGAACTCTTCTCGATTCTCTCTCCACATCTTCGCAGCATCCACATTGGCACCACTTTCATCATTGGGTTCTAGTTTTAGAAGAAAATATGTCTTAATTTAATGGGAAGCAATAAATAAATATGAAGCCTTGCCAGCTAACATGCTAACAACTGAGAGCAATATTTTTTCGACACTTTGAACCGGGCTCCACCTCTCCGCACTCGACTCGTAGCCCATAGGGTCATCACCAGGAGCATGGAGGATTGATATGCAAACCCTGCCATCACTATAGACTGAAAAGAGAATTGATATAAGTAAAAGTATCTTTAAATTAAAACAAAACTAAAATTACAAGACCAAGTGGCAATTTTCAAACATTTATAATGATAATTTTCAATTGAAATAATAAATTTAATTCCTTCTAGAATGAATTCTTTAAAAATTTATATCGCACTATAATATTAAATAATACTTTAATTTAACAATTTGAAAAACTTTTACTTATAATTAACTTACTATTGGGATGAAACATTTCACAAGTGAATTGCATTTTTGGAGGGCTGAGAGGATAGTCTGGAGGAAAAATCAATTTTGCTGGAAAAACGCCGCCTTCAAAACAGGTGCCTTCTGGACCACTGAAAAAATTAATTAATTCAATTTTCTAATTAGACATTAATTTAATATTTATTTACGTGATCAAAGCCTCCCATTCAAAGAAATTCTCTTCGTTGATTGGACCAGCAATGATTCCTTCAGGAGGGTTCAAAGTGAGTTCTGGAAAATAAAGATCAATCATATGCAATTATTGGGTTGGAAATAATTATTTAAATTAAAAGTCATACAAGAGCATAAGTTTGACTTTGACTGGATTCACATTAGAATTGTTTTTTATGAGCAGTGCAATGAAGCTTTCAAGTGAAGATTTTTAGAAAAACAGTTAAATCAGAAAAATATCGCTCCAATCTCTCCACAAATTCTTCCTATTAGACAAAGAGTAATTAAAATCTTACGTTTATATTCGGCCATCAATCGTCGCAATGCAGACCCTGCCATGTTTACAACAAATTATCACAACAACAAAGTCCACCTGGCAGTGCCAAAGTTGCAAAATTTTAAATATGGCGCCGATGAAATCTCGTAAACGATTGGCTCGGTTTGTTTTTCTTTGACCTTGATGATTGATGACTCGATGATCGTCAATGCCGACTTTCGAGTTGCACCAACTCTCTTGTTGAGTTGCACCGCGTGGTTATCCTCAACTCGCAATAAACTTGTTAATTTCTGCGGAATTAATCAGTGAAATTGATTTAAATTCCTGCTAAAATGCTGGTGCTTTTTGAAACACCAGCTGGGTATGCTGTTTTCAAGGTGAGTGTTTTTGAAGCTGTCAAAATTTCGCCCAATTTTGAATGTGCGGGGGGCCAACACCACCGATGCCCATCATAAAAATAAACAAGCACCCAGCAAAAACACAAGTTTTTGTTCTACATAAATTATAATTAATTTTTTAAACAATAAATAATACACATAAAAATTGCAGCTCCTAGACGAAAAGAAACTTCAAGCGACTGACAACTTATTCAAAGATTTTGAGACGCCGGGAAAAGCAAGCAAAGTGTAAGACATTTTAGAGAATGTTTTTCAAGCGCCTTTCTTATATAATCATTTTTCCTTTTTTTAGGGTTAAATTGAAGCATTTCCACAAATTTTTGGACACAACCGACGCCCTTGCAGCAACGACGGCTGCCGTTGAGGGAAAACTTTCGAAACACCTAAAAAAGCTACTAAAAAAGTTAGTGGTCCAGGATGCTCAGGAGCAGCTTCTGGTTGCCGATGCCAAACTTGGTGGTGTCATCAAGGAGAAATTCGAAATCAACTGCATGACCAACAACTCCGTTCAGGAGCTGATGCGATGCATCAGATCGCAGATCGACGGCCTCTTGGGCGATTTTCCTCAGAAGGAAATGACGGCCATGGCTCTTGGTTTGGCCCACAGGCAAGCAAAGCCCTTGCAAACTTAAATTTTAATCTAACTCTTTTATCACACAGCTTGTCACGTTACAAGCTCAAGTTCAGTCCTGACAAAGTGGACACCATGATTGTCCAGGCAATTTCCTTGCTCGATGACCTTGACAAGGAGCTCAACAACTACGTCATGAGATGCCGCGAGTGGTACGGCTGGCATTTCCCTGAGCTGGGAAAGATTGTTACGGACAATACTGCATTTGTGAAAATCGTCAAACAAGTTGGTACGAAAGATGGGCAATTTTTTTTTAGAATATTTTTTACGAAAATTTCTCGTGTAGGAACAAGGGAGAAAATGCTTGAGTCCGACATGTCGGAGATCATTCCCGAGGACATTGAGGCCAAGGTTAAGGAGGCCGCTGAAATTTCCATGGGTACCGAAATCTCTGACGAAGACATTGATAATATCCAGATGCTCTGTGACCAGGTTTGTAATTGTGCAATTAAATGATTGTCTTCATAATCTAATTTTATTTCTGCTAATTATTCCAATTTTAAATATATGCGGCGCTTATAAATAAAATTTTTCTAGACGATCATTATTTTTTAATGAAAATCTGCAAATTGTTAACAGGTGCTGGAAATTACTTCATACAGAGCCACTCTCTACGATTACCTCAAGGCTCGCATGATGGCGATTGCACCAAATCTCACTGTCCTTGTTGGTGAACTCGTTGGTGCCCGCCTCATTGCTCACGCCGGTTCTCTCCTCAATTTGGCAAAATATCCTGCATCAACAGTGCAGATCCTTGGTGCGGAGAAAGCTCTTTTCAGGGCGCTCAAAACTAAGAGAGACACCCCTAAGTACGGTCTTATTTATCACGCCCAGATGGTCGGTCAAACAAGTACCAAGAATAAGGGCAAGGTAAATTAATCCTCTCCGTTTGTTTTAAATTGAGTATTAATCATGTTTTAAATTCAGATTTCTCGAATGCTTGCTGCTAAAGCTTCTTTGGCCATAAGAGTCGATGCTCTTGGTGAAGACGGAAACGTGGACTTGGGTGTGGAGCACAGGGCTAATTTGACAGCTCGTCTTCGCATGTTGGAGGAAGGCAATCAGAGGAGAATTTCTGGTGGAGGAAAGGGATCTGGCAAGAAGACGGAGAAATACCAATTTAAGAGGTTTGGTTTTTATCCATTCTTTTTTTTATTATTATTATTTTTGCTTAATTTTTATTTCTATTTTTTAGTGAGGTTGTCCAGTATCAGCCTGAAATGGATTCCACGATGCCAGTTAAAAAGAAGCGACAGTTGGTCGAAGAAGTTGGAGAATCTTGTAATTATTATTTCAAATTTTCTTTTAATTCTTATTCATAAATTTTTATTCCAGCCTCCCCTACGAAAAAGAAAGTTAAGGTTGAAGTGAAAGATGAGCCACAAGATGGAGAAGAAGGTAGTTTTTTTTTTATTTTTAGTTAATAGTTGTGAATTCTTACATTTTTATTTCAGTTACTGAACCAGTGTCTGAAAAAAAGAAAAAGAAGAAGAAATCCCATGTTCCTGCCGAGGAACCAGTGAAGGCAGAAGGTAACTGGGAATAATTATTTCTAATTTGTAGTTATTTATTTTCTTCCCTGTAGAAGAAGCACCAGAACCAGAGGAGGGTGAAAAGAAGAAGAAGAAAAAGAAGAAATCCTCAGTTGCACCTGAAGCCATGGAAACTGAGGAGGTAGAACAGGCGCCGGAAACCCCAAGCAGCGAGAAGAAAAAGAAGAAGAAGAAGAAATCTAATGTTGCTGACGAATAATGGGGTTGTCTTTTATTATCTTTCCTATTTTCTTACATTTTAAATACATAGTATCAAGTTACTATTGTGAAAAGAATAAATAAGACAAGATTTTTATGTTCACGACTAAAAGAAAAAAAGGAGTAATTTTTATTTTGAAGTCCCTACTCCTCCGAGTTATAATTGAATTTTCATTAATTCCGCTAAAATCTATTAAAGTATATTTTAAAAATAATAGTAGATCCAACAAGGAAATAAGGATGTGTGGAGTCTACATTACAGCGACCCCTTTGCTCTAGATGGAGAACTACAACCCTGTAAAAGTGTTCACATTCCACGCCCCTTTTCTTTTAATGAAAACAAACACACAGGAAGGAAAGGACGTGGAGAATTTGGATCAAAAATATTTTTTCGAAGGGCTAAAATAAATTTATAAAAAAATGGAGCCTCCAGATTCAGCTTCTCTCGATATCAATAAGCCTAATTTTAATCCAGAATTGTACATTCAGACAGTATTTAAGGTAACCTTAATTTGGAATCTTATAATTTATTTTTTTCTTCAACAACAAAATATTGTCGTCTTTTATCACCTAAATCATGTACCTTAATATAAATAAATTTAATTTTTCAGAGATGTTCCTTGAGAGAAGTGATGGAAAGAGAAGCATCGATCATAAAAGACACTCAAACGCTACATTCCGACATGCAGACATTGGTCTACGAAAACTACAATAAATTCATCTCGGCCAGTGACACCATCAAGAAGGTTGTTTATTTTTAAATATAAATTATTTTCCCATTTTATTTAATTTTGTTAATAGATGACAAACGATTTCAAAGAGATGGAGTCAGAGATGGATTTGCTGGCGGCCAACATGAATTCTATTGCAAGCTTTTCAGATCAGATCAGCACAACATTGCATGTAATTTAAATTTCGGCAAAATAATTATTAAAATTTATAATGGAAATCCTTGCATTTATTTTCAGGATACAAGACAGAAACTTACACAACTGTCGTCCGTTCACACTACCCTCCAGAAAGTGCAGTTTCTTTTCAGACTGCCGCACACATTGAAAAAGAACCTGGAAGATGGAAGTCTCACGGAGGCTGTTCAAAACTATTCAAGAGCTCTCGGAACTCTAAAAATGTATCACCAGAACCCATCATTCAGCAGCATACACAAGGAGTGTGACGAAATCATGCTTAGTGTGAAGGAGCAGCTTTTTGGCCAGCTGTCCAGCAAACAGGTAGTTTTTACTATATTTTGTTAGTTTTGTCTTATTTTCTTGCTTCTTTAGGCCACTCCAAAAGAATTGGCTGAGTGCGTGGAGCTTCTTTTATCTCTCGGTGAGCCAGCGCCGGTTTTGTGTGTTAAATTCTTGGAGCACGCCAGTGAGCGTCAAAGTGAGCAGCTCCAATCGATGGAGGATCACTTGAGGCTGCGGGACCAAGACGTCATTGAGTTTCTGGACATCGGCAGCAACGATTTCCTCAGCGACTTATGCTTGAACGTTGCCACTTACAATGAGCTCTTTGCGAAGAAGTGCCAAATTGAGGAAGGCGAAGATCCAAATGTTCTGCTTGCAAATTTCATCCAAGATGCCATGGACAAATACCTAGACTTGGTCAAGAGGAAGGTCGAGGACGAACAATCTCCTGGAACGGAAGCGACTGTTCTCGTCAGAGCCCTGGACCGATTTTATCGCAGACTTCAAGCAGCCTGCACTCTTTTGCCCGGTCCAAATTATGCAAAGTATGGTTTGCGGAATTAATTTTGTAGAAGTTTTTTTAATTTATTTTATGATTCTTGAAATTAGGTATGGTATGGAGGTTGTTGTTCAAGCTGGAGGCAGACAGTCTCAGATGCATTTGAAAAACATGCAGGCTCATTTTAAGGAGCTCCTCAGCAATGTGCGGCAGACGCTGGCAGCACCCAAATTATCTCTGACGCTAGAGGAAGAAAAAAAGAACCTCTCCAGTAGCAATCTGCCAGAGTTGTTGAACACCCTTGTAGCCGGCTCTGTGGAAAAGATCAAGATCAGCCTGCAAGATTTAAAAGTTAGCTTGATTTTAAAAAATTTGCAGTGGTTCTAACAAAAATTTTCAGCTTTTCCTCCAATCTGACTTGACCTTCAGCTTGAAACAACTTTTCAGAGCAAAATTCTGCTCTAGTGTGCGAGAAGACTTCTTGGTTGCCTTCATAAAATTCTTAATGGAAACTGCCTCCGGATTTTGTGTTCCCCAAACGCCACCTACACTGCTGCTTCTCCTTTCAAAAATGTGTCTGGAAATGGAATCAAGCACTGTTAACTACTTGGTAAATAAACTGGTTATATTCTATATTTTGAAAAGCATTTTTAAACTTTTATTTCCAGCTGAGTCAAACTGATGAAGAATTCTGCATTGAAGACGCAGCCAAACTGACGACCAAAAGCAGTCTATGCAAGCAGCTGCACGATTCCGCACAGAAGCTTCTCGACTACTTTGTGCGAACCCAGGGGTTGAGTTTGTCCCAAATGCTGAGAAAGTCTGTTGAGACGAGAGACTGGTTGAGCACCCCAGAGCCCAGGACGGTGCGAGCTGTGATGAAGAGGGTGGTCGAGGATGTGGCTGCCATTGAAATTTTGGTAGGGTCTTTGTACGAACAAGGCATACAACAAGAAAGGAGCTCTGATTCAAGTAGACGAACGCAAAGGTTTGCTAGATTTCACAAATGTTGATTTTTCATTATTTTTTTTTTTTTTTTATTATTTTGCAGGAAAAGAACTAATTGGTATGCTCCAAGCCAGATTGACTCGAAACTAGCCAGCAATTTGCAAAAACTGTTTTCTGAAAGAATAGAGATATTTTCATCAGTGGAACTATCCACTGTATCCATCATGACTGGAATCATCAAAATTAGTCTGAAGGTTTAAAATTCCTCCTTCTTTTGAAATATATTATAAACTTTAATTTTCTGCAGACTCTGCTTGAGTGCGTCCGACTTAGAACGTTTAGCAAGTTTGGTCTGCAACAAATCCAAGTTGACACACACTACCTGCAGATGTACTTGTGGCGCTTTGTTGAAAATGAAAAGTAAAATTTTCTCGTTGTCTTTATGAAAGAGTGACTAACTTATTTTGTTTCAGTCTGGTCCATTTTCTTCTAGATGAAATTTTGGGCAGTACCGTCCACAGATGTCTGGATCCAGTGCTGATGGAGCCAAGCGTTGTTGAGATGATTTGCGAGAGGGGTTAGAAAAATAGCAAAAGCATCACTAGTTCATTCCTTTTAAGGTACTGTTATCAAATTATGTTGTTTTGTATGCGTCGTTATTTATCAATCATGAGAATGACATTAACTGTGAAGAGCATGTGAAAAATATATTTGTCTTGTAACAAATTTGTTAGTTATCAGTTGGTGATGGTGCAGGGAACCCGTTATCTCTTATAATCTGAGCATAAGTGGCGGCCGACAACTTTCGGGTCCTGGGCCTGGTTGGGTCATTAAAATCAATGCCGTAAAGACCAAACTTGGCACTAGAAGAATAATATTATAAATTATAATCATTGAAAAATCCTTTCGAGAGATACTTACGTATAGCCGCCGGTCCACTCAAAGTTGTCAATAATGCTCCAGGCAGTGTAGCCGTAAATGTTGCATCCGTCCAGATTAATAGCTTTCATTAGCTCGTTGATATAGTTCTGTCAAGTGATCGATTATTTTCAACAGTTAAAATAATTTATTTTAATTATACAGTGTAATAATTTGATCTGTCGATATCATTTATTTCACCGTAGTCTGCAAATCCATTTTCGGTCACAATCAAACGCGGGTTGTTGTATTCATTCTTGATCCAATTCAGAATTCTTCGGAAGCCCCAGGGCACAACCTATATTAAAAATATTTTATTTTAATTTTTCTGGGAGATGGAGATATGAAATACCCTCAGCCAACCGACTGAAGAGGGGGGCCAAGAAGGATCTTGACTTTTGTACAGATCCTGGTCCTTGTCCCAGCTTGTGTAGTTTCCGTCCCAAACGCCGTACTCGATAAGCTCGGTGGTGTAGTGGTTAAAGCCAAAGAAATCGGAAGAACCTTTACATTTTTTTAAATAAATAAGAAGTATTTTAAGAAGATTCGCGCATGCCTTTAACATAATCCAACCAAGTTTGATTGAATTCTGGAAGCCTTGAAACGGGGTAGCCTTCCTCTGCACTGTGCCTTGCAACAAATTCCTTCATAACTGCAGGGTAGTCTCCGTCAGTGCTGAAAATCGGATGGGCAAACCATCCAAGCTGTAACGAAATTTTTTTCAAATTAATTTTATTATTAATTTATTTTTCTCGAAATTTTTTCTGCACCTTGAACTGACTTGCGCGCTCCGCGGCCTCAATGTCCTCTGCACTCTGCGATTTCGGCTCATGCCAGCCACTGTCCAATGTGATTCCACACTCGCCTGATCAGAGTTTTTAAAATCTGGAAAACATTAAAATTTTTTGTTTACCATTTTGGATTGGCCTGTAGTTGTCGTTGTAAATGTGCCAGGCGCGGGCGTGCGATTTGAGCTGGTTGTGCGCCGCGATGTAGTCGGTCTTGCCACTGCCCACTATACGGGGCGCGTTTGATCCGTAACCGTAACCCTGGGCCGCTTGCACCCACGGCTCGTTCAGGGTAATCCAAGACTTAACCTAAATAAATAATTTTTTATAAAAGTGAATAAAAATTTTTAAAAACAAAATGAACAAACTCTATCTCCGAACGTTTGGTACGCAAAGTCCGCATAATCGCCAAACAAATCCACGATTTCCTCACTTAACCAGCCACCGATCTCTACTTCCAACGGTTGAGGAAGATCCCAGTGATAAAGGGTCACCTAGATATAAAAAGACTCGTTAATTTTTATGGCGTCTTGGAAATTTCATCCCGCAAAGTAAATTGAAAAAACGGACTTACAAGAGGAGCGATTCCATTTGCGAGAAGAGCGTCGATCAGATTATTGTAGTAATCAATTCCAGCCTGGTTGATTTGATCCACCCTTCCAGTCGGTAGAATTCTTGACCACGAAAGAGAGAAACGGTAAAAATTAACCTGTAGAATTTTAAAATAGTAAATATGCACAATAATTAAATATTAAGATTCAATTTACAAAAAAGTGTTAAAATTTCCTTTTTTTTAAACAAAATATTTTTTAAACTTTTGTTATATCATCAAATTTTATTTTAATTTAGTTAACAAGTATTTAATTACTCCTGTCTCTTTGAGAGCTGCAACATCGTCCAAGTATTTATTATAAGAATCAGCGGCAACATCTCCAGTCGAATTGTCAAGAATGCTGCCGTCATAGAAGTGCGTCATAAAGTCCCAGATGTTTTCTCCTTTGCCTGAGTCGCGAATCGAAAATAAATTAAATACTCAACAAAGCCAATTAATCCGCACCATCTGCGTTCCAACCGCCTTCGATTTGGTATGCGGACGTGGCTGCACCCCAGATGAAACCGTCGGGGAAGGTGCCGTTGAGAAATTCGTCCTGGGCCGTGGCCATGCCCAGGAGACTCACAATTACAAGTAAAAACGGTTTACCTGAGGTCATTTTGGACAAGTGTGCAGTTTTCTTATTCGTTTATATCGTTAACGGCTGATATCAAAGTTCGATAATGAATAAGTCGTGTGGCCCAAACCAAGATAGAGTGTTAATCTCTGTGACTTTCAAAAATAAAAAAAAAAAACCTTTCCGAAAGCTCCATTAATTGTTTTGTAGAAATGATTAATATCTGCACTCTAGATTTTTTTTTAAACTTGAACTCGATTAGTGAGAAAAGAGCTTATAATTTAGGCTACTATTTCAAAGTTAAAAGCCGAATCGTACAAGATTATAATGGTTTTCAAGGATATTGTTAACCCTGGTACATATTCTTCGATCAAAATTGAAAAGGCAAAGGTGTATTTTTTTTCTTCTTATTTTTATATCTCAGTATATGTCATTCGTTGCACAAAATTTTTATGTGGTCTTTTGTAAATTATATCTTTTTGAATGTCACAGGAAAAGTTTTTATTTGTCAGTTGGTGGGGGAGCAGGGAACCCATTGTCAGCAATAATCTGAGCATAAGTGGCGGCCGACAACTTGCGAGTCCTGGGCCTGTTAGGGTCGTTGAAATCCACGCTGTAAAGTCCAAACTTTTGCCTGAAAATACAACTCCATTAGAATCATCTCAGTAGAAAAGATTTTTTTGAACTAACGTGTAGCCAGCTCCCCACTCAAAGTTATCAAGAATGCTCCAGGCAGTGTAGCCGTAAACATTGCAGCCGTCCAGATTTACAGCTTTCAGAACCTCGTTGATATAATTCTGTTAAATCATTTATTACTTTTGGTGATTGTTAGTTATCCTGGACAATTTTACAGTGTAATAATTGGATCTGTCAACATCGTTGATTTCACCCAAGTCTGCATATCCATTTTCAGTCACAAGCAAACGTGGGTTGTTGAACTCATTCTTAATCCAGTTCAGAAGACTGCGGAAACCCCAGGGCACAACCTGTTAAAAAAATTCATTTTTGCTTTCGGCGGATTTTAAAAACTAAGATTGTACCTTAAGCCAAGGAGCTGCAGAAGCAGGCCACGAAGGGTCTTGACTTGTGTTCAAATCCTGATCCTTGTCGTAACTTGTCCAGTTTCCATCCCAAACACCGTACTGGGCAAGCGAGGTGGTATAGTGGTTCAGGCCAAAGAAATCGGAAGTTCCTTAAGTAACTTTTTAAATTAAGAAAATTTCACAAATATTGATTGAAACCTTTAATGTAATCCACCCAAGTTTGACCAAATTCTGGCAGCCTCGAGACAGGGTAGCCTTCCTCTGCACTGTGCCTAGCAACGAATTCCTTCATAACTGGAGGGTAGTCTCCGTCAACGCTAAAAATTGGGTGGGCAAACCATCCAAGCTGTGATATCATCAAATCAATTAAAATTTATTCTTTGTTAATTTCGCCTCCAAAAGAAATATTTATAAAAAAAAGTCGCACCTTAAACTGCATACCGCGCTCTGCTGCTTCAATGTCCTCAGCGCTCTGTGAAATTGGCTCAAGCCAGCCACTGTCCAAAGTGATTCCAATCTCACCTGGAAAAATTTGAATAATAATAAATTTGATAAATGTGGAAACAATTTTGAAATAATACCATTTTGGGTTGGCCTGTAATTATCGTTGTAAATGTGCCAGGCGCGGGCGTGCGACTTGATCTGGTTGTGCGCCGCAATGTAGTCCGTCTGGCCACTGCCCACTATGCGGGGTGCGTTTGATCCGTAACCGTAGCCCAGACACGACTGTACCCACGGCTCATTCAGGGTGATCCAAGACTTAACCTGTTATATATTTTCTTATATAATACATTGAAAATAAAATATTAAATTGTTGAACAAACCCTGTCTCCGAAACTTCTGAAGGCAAGGTCGGCATAATCACCAAACAAATCCACTATTTGCTCACTTAACCAGCCACCAAACTCATCTTGAAGAGGTTGAGGCAGGTCCCAGTGGTAAAGGGTCACCTAAATAAAAGAGGCTTGGTAAATTATCAGTTATCAATTTTGGCGTTAAATCATAAATATTGCAACTAAATATTGTTGTTTCTGCTCATATAAATTTTTAACACTTAATTAAGAAAGAAAACCTACCAGAGGAGTGATTCCATTTGCAATAAGAGCGTCAATTAGTCTATTGTAGTAATCGATTCCGGCCTGGTTGATTTGATCAATCTTGCCAGTTGGTAGAATTCTCGACCACGCAATGGAAAAACGGTAGAAATTAACCTGAAAATGTTCAAAATTAGATATTTTTAATTATTTGTTAGTATTCAAAAATAAATCATTTTAATTTAAAGTTTGAAAGGAAATACCCCAGTCTCTTTTAGTGCAGCGATATCTTCCAAGTATTTGTTATAAGAATCAGCGGCAACATCTCCTGTCGAATAGTCCTGAACACCACCATCAAAGGCGTGCGTCATGACGTCCCAGACGTTTTCTCCCTTACCTGAGTGAGCCCCAAATCGAAAATAAATTGAAGTATCGAAAACAAAACCAATTAATCCGTACCGTCTGCGTTCCAACCGCCTTCGATCTGGTAGGCGGACGTAGATGCACCCCAGATGAAACCATCAGGGAAGGTGCCGTAGAGGAAGCCGTCCTGGGCCATGGCCAGGCCCAGGAGACTCACCAAGACGAAGAGGAGCGGCTTACCTGAGGTCATTTTGTACGGAAAACAGACGTGAAATGAAACTTTCCTCTTTCTTATATAATTAACGCGAGTTATCTTTCGAGATTTTGATAATGACCAGATTAACAAATTGAGACATATTTATGGAGTTTAACAAGCACTCGAGCCACTCACCGGCGCAGTTGATTGTTTGAACGTGGTTTCAAGTCCAAAACGCTTCAGATTACAAGGCTGACAGGCATAATTTACGGTGATGACGATAAGGAAGCAAACTGCCAAAAATCCAGTTGGAATTAATGCGGCGTAAAAGCGCCGAGCTGCTGCGGTTGTTATTGACGATTCGACGAATTAAATTCATGTGTGTGCTCAAAGTCAAGGCCGTTTTTTATGAGCTGCTGCTAAACGGGTTTATTAACTTTTTAATCTCTGGATGCGGGCGCATGTGGGAGTCGCTCTGTTAAATTTGCTTTTCTGACATTTCTCTCTCGTATATGCCGTTTCATATTTTCTGAAAGGCTGACGAGGAGTTTTGTAATAAAAGTGAGCCTTCTCAGCGATATATATGAAAATAATGCTTTTGATGGAATGCGGAGGATAAAAAAAGGACGCCTTACAATTGCAAAAGTGTGATCAAGCAGTTTTTTAAATCCTCGAATTTTATTCTTATTACGGCATTGCTATCTTCTGCCATCTATTCAATTGCAGTTTATTTCAACCTGTAGACTGAAGTTCCGTCATAAAATTTTCAACAAATTTTATTATGTTTTTTTCTTCTCAATTTTCTTTATTATGAAATTGTTAAATTAAAAGTTAAGCGACTTTGACCTTTAGTGCACCTTTGTGTGTCCTTGGCGAGCAACGCAGACTCACGGACCGCGCAACAGAGCGAATAATCAGATTTAATGGGAAGCCTCTGCAAAGGCGATTTGCTCCACACGCAGAGGGTAAACATACACACACAATATTTGATTCCCGTTGAGCACGATTGGGCTGTTGCGTGTTGCCCGTGACAGTTTCCGCATGATCGATTTTCCGAATGCTAATTTTGCATACTTTTGGTAATCACGTACAATGACTTTCATTATTTCAACAGGATAGTCAGGATATCTTCAAATTTAATTAAGCGATGGACTTTTCTATGAAGCAATGCCAGGCTGACTTTTTAATTTTTTGTTATCCTTAAATAATAAGAGAAGTGTGGCAAAGATAAGAAATGATTCAATAATAACACAAGTGAGATGATAACTATTTTTCATTGATATAAAAGTGATTTTAGTTTCCTCAGTGGTACGATACGATCACGTGCGCGTCCACCTTTGCTCACTCGGCGTGCAATATGAGATCTAATTTATAAAAAGAAAGAATTGGGAATACGGAAACCGTATCGTTCTGTTGTTACTATGATTGGATTAATTATATGAGGTGCGTGAAGCTCACCAAAAACTACGTGGAAATTTTGTCATTGAACCATAAACAGTAGAGGGCAAAGTACACAATGATACATTTTATTTGTAAAGGAATATTTAAATTTTAAAATTGCCTCTTCTAAATTTTTATTTGTAATCCAATTTGTGCGAAATGTGCAAATTTAAATGCATTATTTTATTTATTTTGGAAGAATGGGTTTAAAAATTTTATTTAAAAAATTTCCATCGCACAATCTAAAGCATTACAGTGGACAGTCTGATGCAAAAATAAATAAGATCGATTAAAATAATTGTTCGTGCACAAAAGGAGCCCTGTGAACTTTGCTCGTGATTGGTGCTTCGCCCCAGTTTCTCTCCCCGTCCGCCTGCAAAGAAACCCCAAAAGTGTTTGTGGGGTCCGTGCCGGTATTCGCTTGTTGACCAACCGAGCAGTCCAGCACACAGCACCGACCATGGCAGACAACCGACCAAGCACGCCTGAACTGAGGCAGCAACAGAAGGAGGCTGAGGCAGAGAGCAAAATCGTCAAAGTTCTCACCGTAATGGCCTACCTGTGCTCTGTCTCGACCGGCGCCTTCCTCCTCTCCCTCTACTACATTTTCCTCTGGGATCCCAAAATCGAAAACCAGAAGAGACTCTAATTTAAAATCAACTGTTAACCATTAAGTGAGTATTAATCTTGGGAAAAATTATAATATTTGTGTTTTGACCTTTGTTGGATTAATTAAAAAAAAAAAAAACGACAAGAAATTTTAAATTTAATTCAATTTTGTGACTTTTTAATCCATAAGCCTAACCGAGGCTGCCAATGAATTAAATTTATTTTAGATAATTCACCTTAAAAGGTTGCATTTGGGTAATTTATAAAAGAAACACGGTTGTGATTTATTACCAGAAAATGTTCTTGGCGTTTTCATATGCTGTCGATTAATCAGAATGATCTCAAAAATAAAATATCAGGTCAATCCACTTCTGAAATCGTTAAGCAGCCATACGGCGTCTAAATTTGCATCAACGTGCCTGTTACCCAATCGCCGTCAAAGACTGAAGACAAGAAGTGCTCGCGCAATAATCCAATAATATACAGAGGCGCGCGCGACCGATAAAAGTGTTTGCGCTGCCACTCGCTGTCCCTTTTTGCACATCGCACATGGCCTATAATAACTTGGTATACAAAAAGGGTGAACGCCAAAGTTAACATCCTCAGAATCATATATAACAATAATAATTTGTGTGCAAATATGCAAATACCTACAATTTTAAGCAATTTTCGTGTTCATTTAAAAATTGGTTCAACCATAGTCAAGAACAAGAAATTGGTTTTTTATAAATAATAGAGGAGAAATTTAAAAAAAATTTTAAATTAAAAACTTAAATTATGATACATGTTGCAGTAAATATATAAGTGAAAAATTTGATTTATTTAATTTTAAATATTCATTTTCATTTTTAAGTTTTAGATATGGGTGAACAATTTTTTTTCAGACCTATTTACTAAAAAAAAACCGAGTGTAAAAAATTATAAATTTTATTTTCCTGGAAATCTCTTTGCTGGTGAAGGCTAAAAAGGCAAAATCATTATTTCCTTCCGCAGCTGCATTCCGAGGCATCTCTTGAACTGCGCAGCATTCCGTTTCCATTATACTTTTCGCTCCGATTCATAAATACGCAACACAAGAGGGACCTCTCGAGCAAAAATCAATAAAAGCATTCTAGGGCACAAGGAGCGAATTTGCAAAAGACCATCATTTCCTTTGGCAAGGGAAAAAATAATTAAAAAAAGGTAAAAAAATAAAAGATCAAGATGAGAGATGTCATCATAGGGGGTGAAAAGCATTAAAAAAAAAACAAGGCCACGCACAAGAGTCGGTCCTGTGCATCGTCCGAGGCGTCATACGCGGCACCGAGCAGGGCAGGAATATCGACTGGAAGAAGAAGCAGGGCGGCGACTGCGCACCAACCGTATCCCAAAGTGGCGGACATAAAATGCACGGTGTGTGTGCGAGTGCGTAAAACATAAGAAAGTAAAAGAAGACGAAGAGGAAGTGGTGCAGCCGCGGCGAGAAAGAAAACATAAAACGCATCTGCCGTGTTGTCAAGGCCGGACGCGGAGGGATACCGAACGGTCGCGGACGAGGAGAGGAAAAGAGGATGAACGGCGAGAAGGTGGCGATGGGCGAGCCGCAGGGGCCGCAGCCTCAGACCACCGTGGCGCCGCACAACGACATCAAGCTGGCCGGCGAAGAGTCGAAAGAACGGATGTACGAGAGCAAGCACCACAAAAAAGTGGTGCGGGTGCTGACCGTGTTCGCCTACGTCCTCTCCGTCTCCATGGCCGCCATCATGCTCTCCCTCTACTACGTCTTCCTCTGGGATCCCAGCTCGACGCGCAATATCACCCAGAGGGCGACGGCGCCCCTCTCGAGACCCACCAGGTGCCCCACGATCGCCGACCTCGGGGCCGCCCTGCCGCCCGGACTCGAGGGTGACCGCCTGGCGCCCACCACCCCTTCAGGTATAGACTCGCATTGAAGCCATCTGAAATAATTCGCCTCCTCCTCTTTAGCCTGGATGTTATTGTTTTGGTTTGCCCCAAGGCCGTGTAAACACTGACAACTCCGTGGTTGATGCAAAAAGTGACACTTAAGAACTAATTGGGACTCAAATTTAATTTCAACTGAAGATTTATTGATTTTTTTTTTTTTTTTAAATTTAATCTCATTACTAAAATTAATTAAAAGTAATGCAGTTTTTATCTATATCCATACATTGTTGACCAAACTGTATGTAAATACACAAACACGCACTTACAATTATGTAGTGAGTTAAAAAAATAACCCTCATGCAATTTAAAAACACGCAAGCAGTGGACTTTGACGTTTTCACTATCCACGGTTTTTTATGCCTGCAAAGTTATTGAATGCTAAAATGAGTATGATATGTTAATGATGTGAATTTAAGTAAATAATTTCCATTTAATTATCAAAATCTAAAACAAAATTAGCCAATGTGTCCTAAAACACACAAATCCATTCATGCAGTTTAGCTGCTCGCCTCTTGCAAAGCGCGCAGACGCTTGCCCCTTGTTTGGTGCGTGCATGCTGTGCCGCACGGCGTGAGTGTCCAACAAAAAGCCTACCTCAGCGAGCGCGGGAACTGATTATATAAACACTATACTTCTATTTCTTGACTATTTCTATTAATTTCCTATCAAAACAATTTTTTATTACAATGGCTGGTTCTTTTTAATATACATTAGGTACGCCCTGGGTAAGCCCAGGTTTGCCTTATTTCAACTTAAACCATTGTAATTATTCAGAAGTAGATGATAATTTTGAATTAATAATTTTTTACAGAGCTAAATATTTCTTTTCCAATGTAAGTTTGACATAATAATGTGTAATTCATGAAGCTAAAAATAAGAAATAAGGAAGAGAATAATTAATTTAAAAAAAAAAATTGACTGGAGGTTTTGATAAGTTGAACGCGGACGGTGGAACTCTTGCGGCCAGTGGAGCTTTTTATCACTGATTCTATTTTAAGATTCAGCTCGCTCAAATTAGTCAAAATTCAAGGAATATTCGAGAATGAAATTTAATCCATACCACCCATGGGGCTCAGTGTGAAAATCTATTTTCGTCTTTCCCACTCCAGACGCCTGAATCTCTGCGTGATGATGTTTGGCACCTGACCCTTGTTCTTTAGCTTAAAAATTCAAACTCAGAGGAAAGCTACTTTTCTGATCAGCTTTCACCAGATTTGTCACACTTGCTTGCTCAAAAGAGTTTGAAATTAACGGGCATCTCGTTGTTGCTGAAAGCCGCGCGCCCACGCGGCATAGTTCGTGCTCCAAGTTGCCTCTTTAATCCCATCAAGAGATCAACCTCCCGAGGGTATTTTGCTTTATTAATCAAGCTAACCCATCTCGTGCATGTTGGTTTTAATAAGAGCTCAGCGTTTTGATGCCCGGGAGAGTGCTGTGTTGTCCTCTTGACTCTAGAGCTTAATTTTCCGAAGTTCCACAAAGCAAAAGTTTTAATCAATTTTAAACATTAAAATCTGTCAATTTTATATAAATTGAAATCATGGTCGCAAAACTCCTACATTAGATTCTCCTTTTTTTATAAAATAGAAACGATAGTGTAAATAAAAGGAGCAAAATAATTTATCAATCATTTAAAAATAAAATATAAAAAAATAGCTTTGTTGTATTTATTAAATTAAATTTGATATTTAAGAAATTAAATTATTTACCTTTTAGGCTATTTTTCTGTTACCTTTTTATTACTAAAAATTAATGTGTTAAAATTCCTACGTAAAATGTGATACTAGCCATAAGGATGCAATTTCATTCCATTACATAGCAAAATTCAGCAAAATTAAAAAAAATTAAATCAATGTAAAAAATAATTAATTTTTATTAAAAAATGCCTATGTTTTACACTAACTACTGCGTTTTTTTTTTTGTTTTTAAAATTAATTGAGAAATAATAAGAAATCAAACAATAATAGTATATTTTGAATAAAAAATGACGTTTTTAAAGAATAATAACTCTTGAATTTATAGTCATTTTTTTTTTAAATAACAAAAGAATTAAATATTTAACCGGTGTGTTTGCAGAACGCAACTATCTGGACGACGAGGACGATGAAAATGGACCTCTGGAGCCACCTCGAGCTCTGCCCCGTGCACCGCCCAAGACCTCAGCTGCCGCTTTGACCCCCGAGCCGCCCGTGCCGTCCGTCGCCCCCGACCTCGAGAGCACCCCCTCTTCCGCGTAGCAAACCTCGCCTGGGCCCGGCAACGAAACAGCCCCCACATAATCAGCACCGGTAAACCAGGCAGTAGGAAGAAGAATTTGTTTGCGGCTGGGCCGACTGGAGGCGAACCGAAAAAGCAGAAGCGTTTTTTGAAACCAAATTTGGATAACATGCCGCGAGCGGTGCGAATGGAAGAAAAAGTTAATACAAAAAAAAATTATAATATATATCAACGCAACTCTTAAGAGGACGCTGTAAAAATTCTCAGTGAGGTGGAGAGGCACCAAAATATGCATGAAAGGAAATTCTCATATGGTGCTAAATACAACTATATTATTTGAGCTAAATACCAAACGAATTTAAACAATTTATTCCACTAATAATAATGCATGGAAAATAGTTTGCTTTGAATTTTGTGTAGGAAATTTTGAGATTAATGTTGAAACGTAATTTAAAATGCATGAAAGTGAATGAGATTAATTTTCATAGCAAAATACTCATTGGCTCCTCTCTGCCTCTTGATGTCATAACAAGCAATAGGATTTTAATTTTCTTGCAGATTTTTTTTAGCAACTTACTTGAAAATTTGTAATAGGTGCTTGGGCGGGAAGACACAAACTACTCATTAAATGTGATGACGAACGATACATGATTACATAATATATATTAAATACGATTGAATTGACAGAAATTTATCTTGTTGTGTTTTAAATTTTAAAAGAGATAATTATTACGGAAAAATAATTGGCTGTTGACAGAGTAACTGGTAAGTAATTTATATATCATTGTAAATTATGATGATTATTAAATTAAATTATAAAATATTCAGTCAGAGCAGAGCATGTTTCTATATATGATGTGTAAAAAATTCACTAGAGAAACCTAAACAAGTTGAAAATATGTGAAATGAATTGCCAATAATTAAAAGATTAATGAAAAATAAAATATTTAACACACGTATTAGTTAGAGTCAATTTTCATCTAAGCCTCTTCGATTTTAAGTAAATTTTGAAATCAAATTTAGCAAATTGTCACGTGAAGAGTTGGTCAATGAAATGTTAACAAGTTTTGGGACGCAAAATTTAGCTTACATACATGCTTGTTTGATGTACTCTGGCTTAGTAATTATTGTATATCGTGATGGCTGGAAAAGGAATTTTTAATTAATTTTAAAAACTGATCTCTTTACACTCCACACTTTTATCGTTTTTAACTTCTGCTTTTAACCGTGTTGTCTCACTAGTGTTGGTATAATTTTTAGAAATTATTGTCAAAACGATTCAAATAAAACTGGTTTGAGCAGGATGGATAATTTTCAATAAAATGCGAAAGTTGTAACAGATCCAAGTGATTGTTCTTGTCCAAGCCATTTTCTTCCAATGCCAAATGAAGCTTTTATAAATCACAAAAAGTCATTAAAAATTATAAAAAAATAAAAATATTTAAATGTGTGTCATTTAAAGATATTTAAGAAATAAGAAAAATTTCAATCAGAAAAATGCGAATCAAATTAATAAAAATACCAACAAAAAACTCTTGTATTTTTGGTTTTAATCAAATATTAATTCCAAAAAGGCAGAATAACAAATTGTGTAAGCTGCTGCGTTTTTCATTTTAACAGAAAAATGTGTCAAGCTGTGCAATTTATGAAAAAAATTATATATATATTTCCATCTGATCAGCAGGCGGCGGTGCGAAATTGCTTTTTTTTTACTGAAATACAAACGGATTTTGTTTCAACCAAATTTCCTGACGTGTGTTGTTGAAAGCTCTGTAATTATACGCTGGACCTCGAATAAAACTGTTTAGATGGACGAATTAATACGTAAAAGTGACACGTCTTTCATTTCAACCGCCTACGTACCACAACAGGGCTGCGAATTTTGACAGGCCCGCGTGATAAATTGCTCCGAGGCGGCAGATGCGCACGATAAAAACAATAAAATATACGACCGACGCACACGATATTAATTGAGCAAACACCACTCGACAATAAATAATAATCTCGGGCCCGATTTCATTCCGAAAAAGAGCAGACGCGGTTTACAATATTTTGTGCGTGTTCGTGCGTAATTCGAGACCCATTCATTCATCGCTAGCAAATTTAACGAGGGTGATTCGCAAACACGCGAATATATATGTTTGCAGAGATAAAATTTTATCCCGGCAGCTCTAGCTCCGCTCCAAAGCGCATCAAAAGGAAGCCGACTTTTTAATGGCTCGACCCTTTTGAAAAAATGCGGGCCGTCGTTATCCGTAAGCAATGACCGTGGTTTCCTCCAACAGGCGGTCGCCAATTTTGATGGATGGCGCGTCCCGTGTCGTGTTTTCTCCCTTGTTAGGACTGATTCCAATTTTTTGATATGACGTTTGTGTTGGACTAGGTAGAAACCCCATTAAGAATGAAATATATACCCTGTTGATGTATGGATTGACGATCTTATCTCCTCTCGCTCAGTTTGACAATGCTAGGAAAATAGACAAAAAGGGTAGAAGAAAACCAGTTCAAAATCTTTTTTCCCATCTTGTTAAAGAATGACTACAAATTTGATAATTTTTAATGCAAATTTTTAGAAACGTATCTCAATTTTTTTCTTGTGGCTTTTGTTCATTTTTTAATCTTCAATAAAAAAAACTAACGATTATTTATGATTTTAATTAAATAATAAGTTTTATAATATTAAAATCAACAAATAAAAAATAAAATAAGTTTAAATAACTTTTTAAATAACATTATGAACCTAAATTAATTATAAAACAATAATATATATTGCAGGTTGCACTTCACGTTGGGTAAATGCAAACAAAATCAGAGACGAATTTAAGCCCCCCCCCCCCCCCACATCATTACTCTATAATCCTCCTAATGGTTGAAATATTATTGAAAATTAAAAGATTTTTTGTATTTCAAACAAACTTTGAAAGGCAGATAAGTAGGTTAATTGGCCGTCGTTATGTATGAATTAAATATTTTATATATTATTTTCTCTTTGGTACAAATTGAGATCAAAAAAATTCATAGAAATTGTTTTCCCTACTGCAAAAAAAGTGTGTGCTCTTTTCTATTCAGGCAAAAGGGTGCTTCTTGCTTGGGTTGCGGGGGTGGCTGGAGGCGCAAGCGCCGCCTCTGCGCTATAAAAAGGGTTTGTGCAGAAGTGCGGGGACAAAAGGCACACACCACCTCAGCAGCACATACCTGAGGGACTGCTCTCAAAATTGTTCACACCGCCCCTGCCGAAACGAAATGGGTAAGAATATAAATTTTTAATCTCTTGGAATGAATTTTTTGTCCTTGCGTTTAAATTACATTATTTATAAATCAATTTCGATAAATAATTTATATTTTAATTTATTATTTTACCTGCAAAAATTTATAATTTAATTTATGTTCTGCTCACATCAGTACAACAAAAAAAAACGCAGAAATTAACTTTTAAGCACAATCCATACAAGATAAGATTGGCTTTGTGATGGAAAAAATTATGTTCTTTTTAATAATATCTTCCATCAAGCTAGCCAGAAAGAGCTAATGCGCGTTCTTAAAAGGTTCTTTACAATATTTGCCAAAAAGCTCATAAAGCATTTCGTCTCTCCTGACTACCGCAAAGAATACCCAAGGGAAGTATAATAGAATAATGCGAGGGAGATTCACTGCACTGGAAGGAAGCAGGAGTTTATGGGAAAGAAAAAAATGGTAGTATGAAGAAGTCACTGAGATTATGAAAAAGATTCATACTTATTTTTACAGTTCTTAACACAATTTCAATGCAACAAACTGCGTTTAGGTTTAAATAATTATTTTGCCAGCCTTAAAATTTTAACAATCTAATAAAATTAATTTAATTTGTACTCAAAATGTGAAAGTTTAACTTTTCTAAATATAATATTAAAATCATGAGTGTAATTAACTTAATAAATTATAAGATTTTAACAAAGGGTTATTAAAAAATTGAAGATTTTTTCGGATTTTTTATAATGGCTCTTTTCTTCTTAATTCTTTTGACTTCATTATTTTATATTTCATATTTAAACTTTCATAAATATTAATAAAAATAGAAATATTGATGGAAATTGCATTAAAGAATAATTAAAGAGTTTATTTTAAAATATGGAAAGCAATTAATTTGTGCTATAATTCTTGTTCTCGACTTTAAGAGTCTTTTGATTTTTCATTAAATTTAAATGCAAATTATTTACAAAGTAAATTATTTCTATAATCCCAATTAAAATCATCAATGTATTTCGAATATTCCCCAACAGTTTCAGTTCTGCCCTGGATAGTCATGCTGGTAGCACAGGCTGCGTCGGTGCCCGCTTGGCCACCCTTTCACTCGTCACGGCCGAATAACATCCCACCACCTCTGCACCATGTCAACCTGCCACCTGCTCTGCCCCCGCTGCCCCCACAACTTGATCCGATCGACAAATGTCTCTTCACTTGCGACCACTGCTACAAAGTAATATAATAGTATCTCTGGTTAAAACTTAAAATCAATTGTTTTAACAGCATCCACAAGCCCTGATTGCCTGTGCCAACGAGTGCATCCTCCAGGCTGGCGAGGCTCCTTCGATGGGCAAGGCGTGGCTGCAGACGTGTCCGCAATTTTTGATGCCAATTTACTTTGACTACCAGCCCGTCGACACTCGCTAGGCAAACCGTTTTTGTTTACAAAATAAAATGTGTGCTAAATAAACTATACTGTCTGTGCTCACTATAAGCGGAATAAAATTTCTTTAGTTTGGATCAATAATCAGAAGATGATTTCCTCAGAATTTTTCTTTTATTCCGCAGCATAAAAACCTTTGTCTGTTGGTTCAACGTTAATAAATCACTTTAAAGGCAGAATAAAAAATATTCTGATTATTTTTTTGTAAAAAAAATGGGGCAGCAGCAACAGAAATTAATTCATCCGAACCCACTTACTTGGGAGTCTTCTTGGACCAAGCGAAGGGGCAAAACAATAAATTCCACTGAGAACCATTGGAACACAGCATCTCACATGCCAAATTTCATATAGTCTGTGTGGCGAGGCACTTTTAGATGCTCAGCAAATTGCAGGTAGTTCTCTAGTGCGCCGCTTTTGACTTGGTTTTCGGCTTCTTCTGCTTCTTTAGAGCGTCCATGCTGCCTCTCATTAATGAAGCATAGACCTGGTGAAACTTCTTCACATCTTGACCATGCACCTGAGAAAAAAACACATTCGTAAGTACCAAAATACGCTTGATTTATTTCACACAAAGATTATACGTACAACGGTGCTGATTTTCTTGCTTCGACAAGTGGCTCGTACTAGGCACATATTTTCTACGGGAGCTGGCAATGGTTCTTTGCCTTCCCTGGGCTCTGGCTTGGTTCTGCCGTCGTCTGAAAATGCATAAATTAAAAATGTTGAATTCTTCATGGAAAATCAAAGTTCTTGGGAAATTGTAGGTGGCTCACATCTCTTTATGGTCATTCGAACGGTTCCAGTGGCTCTAGCGCTGAAGAATAATCTCTGTAGCTCGGCAAAGAACTGAAAAACGCAAATAAAAAGATATTTAACGTGGAATTGGAGGGTTTCTATAAAAAATGACGCAGGTCAACAAAATTAAATTTTGCAATTTCCAGGCGCGCAGAAAGTTATCGGCGTCCTTCTTGAGTGCGACCTGAAGCGTCGTTCTTCTAATTAAAAAATGAGATCATGCTTACCGCTTCGTGGTCGAGCAAAACCATGATTTTGACTTTTGTTTCCGTCAGCAGCTGCTGTAAAATACCAAAATCAACGTCGTGGTGTTTTGTGGGCGAGGGCGAAGACCTGGTTGTCTTGACCGCAGCTGCCACCTGGTGGTAGATGAGCTGAGTCAAAATTTAGGTTGTCAGAAGCAGCAACATCATAAGGCTGCATTATGTAGTTTCAATTTCTTAATTCATTATAATCAATATAAATTTATGCTTCAAAATTGTGAGACGAAATAAATCATATTATATTATTTTATATAGTAATGCACAAAAAAGCTTGAGTGAATTTTAATAATTATCAAAATTAATAATATAAAAAAGCAAGTCAATTTTCTATCTTCCTCCAAGTTTAATGCTTAGGATTATCTCCATCATGATACAACTCCATTTTTAAGACTAAATTTCCTCATGAAATGAAACATAAATTACTTCACTTATCGAGTATGTACTGTTCAGTGAGATGCAGTTAAAACGTGGAGAACGCCACAAAAAAGACACATGTAATAACTACACTAGAAATGTGGAAAGTGGTAAAATTTGTGATCAATCCCATTTACGAAGCAGCAGTGTCCATCTCTGAAGCTGCTGCCTCTGGCTCTTCGTCATTGTAGATGTTCTCGGCCATTTGCCACACCTTAAAAAATGAGAAAAGTTATGAAATGTTTTGTCTTTTGTTAAAAAAAAAAAAATAGGAGACAATAATGTATAATTCAACCAACCTGCATTATGTTATCTTCAGAGACAGAGCAAATGACCCATGGTTCATTTGGATTCCAGGAGAAGTCGGATATTTTAGCTGTGTGTCCACCGTGGATGAACTGCATATGAAAATTGAAATGAGTTTCCAGCACAATTAATTTAGAAAAGAGACAAACCAGAAGTTCAGGAGGGCCGTCTTCAGCATCCTCACTGGACTGCTCCTCTCCAATTTTGCTCAGGTCCCAGACGTGCAGACGTCTGTCAGTGCCACTGGAGGCAAGGATGGTCTCGTTATGGGGAGACCACTGTACTTGGAAGATCTCATCCTTGTGCGACTCAAACGAGTGCAACTTCAGCTTCAGGTTTCGCAAATCCCAGAGGGCAACGGTTTTGTCTGCACTGCCAGTGGCCAGGATGTACTCGGAATACGGGTTGAAGGAGAGGCAGTTGACCTCGGCTGTGTGGGCATCAACAGTGTGAGACGGTTTGCTTGTGTTGTTGCACCTCGTGTCCCAGATCATCAACTTCTGGTCGTCAGCCACAGAGCCGAAAAGGCTCTCGTGCAAAAGGTGCCAAGCGACGTCCTCGACGACGGCCGTGTGGCCAGTGAAAATGGTCTTGGCGTCAATGATGCGGTTTTCCTTGGGGGTGGCGTTGATGTCCCACAGACAGATGGTGTGGTCGTCCGAAGCACTGAGCAGATAGCCATTCAAATTGGGGTTCCATGAAAGTCCATAGCCTTCCTTCTGGTGACCTCGCAATCTGAAATTTTTGACAAAAAATTTTTACTTTAACACAAGAAGAAATTTGAGGAATATTAATTGACAAAAAAAATTAAATTAATCAATGGTGAAAGCCTGAAAATCAATCTAAGCTCAGAGGGTTTTAAAATCTGAATTGAAAAGCCTTTAAAATTAATTTAAAAATATTTAATCTACATCGGATGATAATTTTAATTTGACTCACCTAAGGTCTGGGTGGCATTCTCCATTGGGGTCAGGCTTCGAAGGATGTTTGGTGTAATCAAAAACAAGCACGTCGCTTGACGGTGTTTTCGTGGCAATGACGCAGGGGTTTTGAGGCATGTACCTCGCCCTGTTCACCTCTCCCTCGTGATTGATCTTAATTTCGATCTCGATCTTTCCACTAACGGAACCAAATCCACCAAACTCTGTTAAAATATAAATTGTTAATACCTCATAATCCAGAACTTATTTTGATTAAATACCTCCTTTTTCATTATCATAATGAGAAGCGTCGAACTGGGCATCCTCGTTCGGGAGCTGGACGCTGGCAATCAAAAGGTGGTTCTGCTCGTCCGAGGTGTGCGTGCCAAGGATGAGCCGGTGGATTGAGTAATCCTTTCCCTCAGGCCTAAATTTGAAATTAATAAATACCAAGTGAGCTCCAAAAAAATAATTATTATTACCTGGTGACATCCGGAAGCCACTGGGCAGTCAACGAAGGCCATTCGAGGGCATGGGTCATGACCAAGTCATACAGGAAGGGTGTATTTTTCTTCCATATTTTATATTCCTCATTTATGACGCGCTCCTCTACGGCATCGTCGAATGCTTCAGCTAAAATTGGTTAAAAAAAACTATTAATTACATATTCTTGTGTACGACGACACTTTGTTTGGAGCGTGGCGTCGTTTTATCATGGGTATTTAAACGCGTTTAAGTCAAATATTTCAGCCGTTCTCGGTGATTTGTGATTAAATATGATGAAATGGTACTTTGAAGAAACGAAAAATATAAAAAAATACTTGCCTCCGTCCTTATCACCCATAATTTCAATCGAAAATCCTTGTAAATTCACGAGAGATCGACAATGCCGGCGTCAGCTCCCGCCAAAGTCGAAGAAAATGGCGCTGCAGATTGTTTTTGAAATGTTTTGACAAATTAAAAAAATTTTGATTTGGCGATTATTTTTATAAATTTTTAAGCTTAATTTGTATCTCAAAAATTATCATGGAAATTTTTTCAAAATTTCGAAAGTTAATCCCAGAAAAAAGTAAAATTTCCAGCGGTGAAAAATGACTTGACAACGTTGCAATTAAATATTTGAAAAATTCTCGATTTTTTCGGATTTTTTAAATTTTAATTCCATTTGGCAATCACAGCCAAAAGCTAAATCACGAGTTTAAATTATTATAATTTTGATAATTTGCCTGCAAAATAAATTCAAATAACATTTTGCAACATCAGAAAAAAATTTCATTCATAAAATGCAACACTGCGCAAATTGAATGGCAATGGCTAGTTTTCAACATGGCCGTCTCAATTACAGACACCAATCTTTAGCACCGAGGAGAATCCGCAGTTAAAACGTCACCTGGAACGAGTATTCGCCAAGGGACATGCTCGACTGCAGTATAAGATTTATCAGTTATTTAACATCGCCAGCAAAATCGCGAGTCTGATCGCCAGTTCGTCTCGATTGCCGAACACTGGGGCGTTTTTATTTCCCAGACGATGGAAGGTCTCCAGCTGTCCGACACAGAACAACGTTATTTCGGCGATTTATTTATCTGCTGCGACGCTGACAACAGTGGCAAAGTCACCGCGAGCAAAGCCACAGAACTATTCAGAACCGCCAATTTGCCGTCGGACAGTCTTAAGCAGGTGACTTGGCAATTTAGCAAATTCGCCGGCGGTGTGTGACACATTCGATCTGTTGCAGATTTTCGAGCTTTGCGGAGTCGGCAGTAGCACGATCCACTACAGTCGTCGGCAATTTTACACAGCTCTGAAACTGATCGCAGCTGCCCAGGCAGGAATGGCTCTAAACGCCGACTTGGTCTCCTCTGGGTCAGACGTGCCCCTTCCAAGGTTTACGGCATGGACAACGGAGACCCCGGAAAAGCAGAAACCCACTCGGCAACACATATCAGCAAGTCCTGATCTGATTCAGCTCAGTGACACAGACGCCACGCCAATTCCTCTTGTAAATGTTTAAATTCATGTTTTTGAATAAATTTGTTAATATTCAAATTTATTGGTCCAGACGCTGACGTCAAGTGCAGTCATTTTGACGAGCGACTCCGAAGCCGATTGCGAGTCCAACGAACCTTCTCACATTCCCCTAAACAGAAACGCAAACAATGGAACTTGTTCTCCTGAAGTTTCCAGCAACGCCAGCGATTCGCCCACTCCTACCAATAGTGTCAAGGAGAGGAAGGAAAATTGGGCAAATGCATGGCAAGGCCTAGGTACGAGTCAATTTGTTGTGCTATAGACGAGCAAATGTAAAATTTGTGTTAAAAAAATTACATGTATGCAATTCAAATTTTTGCTGTGATTTCAGATATAGATCCAAGTTTACTGAGCGAGGAACAAAGACAGCTCTTGGGTACCGAGGAGGAATCGTCAGACAGGCACAGCAGCGACGAAGAGGGGGTGGAGGATGACGAAGTTTGGAGCATAACCGAGGAACAAAGAGAGTACTACACAAACCAATTCCGCGCTTTGCAACCCGATCCTTCAGGACTTGTTCCTGGACACACAGCTAGGGTGTTTTTCGAGAAATCTCGCTTGCCAGTTTCTGAACTTAGGAAAATATGGTAAATATTTTGTCGACATCATAACTTTGTCGAAGACTCTGAAAATTTATTTATTTATTTATTTTGTTGTTTGAATCTAAATTTGGGTTTTTCTTGATGGTTGCTTTCAGAGTTTATCTTTTTTTTTTAAATATCCTGCCAATATATGAACATAATTGATTTTTATTTAAAAAAAAAGAGGAAAAGATAATTTTTTTTAAATTATAAAAATCATGAATATAACATTTATTTTACAAAATACAAAATCTGATAACTGATATACATTTATAGAAACATACTAAACAATCAATGGTTTCATTTATTTATTTATTAAGCTAATTAACAAAAATCCTTAAAAAAATTATAAAGATTTCATGTCTTTTTTATTAGTATTGTTAATTATTATAAATCTATTTTCAGGCAACTTTCTGATGTGACAAAGGACGGCGCCCTTTCGCTGGACGAGTTCAACACAGCCATGCATTTAGTGGTGCTGCGCAGAAATAGCATTCCCCTTCCGGACGTGCTGCCGTCAGTGCTGCAACCGCCACTGCTCAATCTCTCTTCCCCGACGCCCCCCATCAAGGGCCCCCCGACGACAGAGCCGCCTCCTGCACCACAGGTGGAAGACAGTCCGCCCAGTCTGTCTCCGCCAAATGGTGAACCGAGCTCTCCACAGCGCAGCAAAGAATGGACCAAATTTGTTGACTCGCCCACTAGTTCAGTTTCTTCACCTGGTCCCAAACCAGTAAACTTTGACTTCCACAAAGCCGCCGTTGAACAGGACCCGAAGATTCTGCACCCTGTGCCGTTGAGGGTCACGCCCGACTCGGGGCCGCACACAGAAGAGGACGGTCTGAAGTCGCCCAGGCGGTTCGAAAATGAGGACCAGGGCAGCCCAAAGAAAGGCATCGTCAGCCAGAATAGTCTCGACCCTGGCGACATCAGACCCATCCAAAGGCCTCAGCCTAAAAAACCAGCAGGTCAGTGGTTTAGCATTCAAACATTAAAACAGTAGTGGAATGTGATTTAAATTTGTCTGATTAAACCTAAACGAGCTTTGTGCGTTTTATTATTTTCAAATCGTACATTTTGTAAACGATTCTGCTTTTTATGGAATGTGTTTTCTGAAACAAATTTTTATCACATCAGTCGGAACTGACAGTAGGTGACTTGAGTCCTTATTTATTCTAAATGTTGTTTTGTGTCCAGCCCCCGGTAGAGGAGCAATACCCCCTCCACCTCATCACCCGCACAACAGTGACTTTGACGCACAAGGGTAAGGCTTGCAGTGTGATTTTCTTTTGTCAAAACTGAGTGTTGTGTGCTCACTCTTGGTGTCATGGTCGCAGGACTGTATCCGGACCCACTAGTCTCCCTCCAATGGCTGCACTCCCTCAGGGCCCTAAAAAAGAGCCGCCCCCTCCACCGCCCCCTAGGCCGTACAGAACTCACACCAGGAGCTCATCTCTAGACCTCAACACGCTGGGTAATTTCATCCTATTGCCAATAGTCAGTGTGCTAGAAATTAGTATTTTGATCGTATTTGTTTGCATCAAATTTGTCAGTCATTTTCATAGACCATTTCAAATAACCTGTGAGTAACAAAAGATACTAATACCTGGCATTTCAACCGTTGCAAGTTAATTAAAATTTAAGTTAAAACTAAAAACAAAATTATTTTCTTTGCAGGAAAAGGAAATTTGCTTCCACCAGTTGTGCCTCCCAGAGTATCTCCTATTGCTGTGAGTTGACTTGCCTGTTCCACCAAAGTTGATACTAAATTTGAAATCATTGTTTTCAGACTTCTCCCAAAAAGTTGGTCGTCCAGCGAAGCGAGGGTGACGTAATCATGCCAAAAAACAAGCAAGGTTTTGCAGACTTTTCTCATTTTGGAGATGCCGCTGAAAGTGTAGAAGCAATAGAAGCAGAGGCACCAAGAAAACACGGAGCTTTTGAAGTCTACAGAAAACCAATAAGTAAAAAAAAAAAATAAGAGTTTGAGAATTTATATATGTTTAATTTTTTTCCTGCAGAACAAACCAAGCAAGAAGAAGAAACAGCCGAAGCACAACCAGCAACAGAAACGTTAAGGTGCGAAAAAAGCTCCTTTTTTATTTTTGTGCTGTTCATTTTGTTCCAATTAAAAAAGGAAAATCATTTTTAATTTTTTCCAATTTTATTTCAGGGGTTACAGCGTTAAGCCGAGTGAGCTGAGAGAACATAACATGTGCCTCTCACGTCTGTGCGTCCAATTGGGTCGTGAGCTGGTCTCGTTGCAGGAGGAGCACCTGAGCCTGCGCCTTCAAATAGAAGCTCTCAGCAGCTCTGGTGATTAGACTCAGTTGTGTCTTACCTGAATGAATGATTTTATCCGCCCTCGTCAGGCAGCCATTTGTTGAGTTTGAAATCTCGAAAGCCACAAGCATCATATTTTAAAGCAGCTACTTGTTGACTTATTTTCTATACAATTGGAAAGAGGGTCGTCGGCCCGCAAAATATACCGTATGTGAAATGTAAATTGTAGCATGTGATATGGAGATAATTACTTATTGCTTGTAAATATACCAAATAATATGGCGTTGAGATAGCGCAATGTCAAATATCTTGACCACTTTAAAACTACCATTGCTACTACTCGATTTTTACTACACTATTTTGTCATTATTTGATATCGGCAAGTCATACGAAATTTTATTGTTGTACATCATACCATTATTTGAGTTTGTATCGCTTCCAAAATGGAGTAACCCATTATTCATATTTTTTATCTCTTGACAAACCGTCTCTACATTCATATGCGAAATGTTGCACAAACTGAGCTTGCAATCTTTTCCCCTCGAATGGTTTGAAAAAAAGTAATTTCTCAGTCTAGTCATGAATAATTGTTCCATGGAATATCCTTCGTTCTACGGATTCTAGCATTCCTTGATTTGCGAAAAAAGCAGAAATTAAAGTGCATGGCCTGTAAAATAAAATAAGTAAATATTTAGTGTACATCAAATGATGAATATTATATTTTTGTGAGAACATTGCTGGTGCTAAGAAGTAAATTTCCAGCTTTATTGTTTATTGTTCTTCATCATAGGCTTCATGAATTTATTTTAGTTCTATTGCCTGGATATTTGTAATTTATGGAAAAGGTATATAAAGAATATACTGAATACGATCAAAATGAATTTCATTTTCTGCACCTTACGGAAAGAAATATCAAACGAGTCTTTTTCATATTTAGCTGTAGTCAATCTCTTTATTTTTACACAGAATATTACGCTATAAAAATATTCATTCAACTTAATCGTAGCAGACTGATATTAGCTTCACACACAATGTGCGCACCATTTGGAAAGTTACATAGTTTGATTCTCTTGATTGGCCCCTAAAACCAGGGTATTGGTGCTGGCAGAAGCAGATGATGATAAATTACAATCAAACCGATGGAATCGAAGTAAAAATTTTGCAATTCTTTCTTTGGTACTTTGCAAACTGATGGAAGATTGTAAATAATAATAATAAAAAACCAACAAAAAAATCAGCCAATCAATACAGTGTCGAATTGGGTTGCAGTTGTGACATCATGCGCGGACGTGACCTCCGTGATCGATGAGAATAATTAATTCGATTAAGAGTCATTGAGTTGAGCTTGAGTGGGTTGATGACGGCGACAAAACGGGACAGCGGAATCACTAGACGACATCTATCTTTTCAGCTCTCGGCTCGCTGGCACTCACACTGGCTATCTATACAGTCATCACTGGCTTAGGAGGCGCCCTGTGGAAAAAAGAGTAGAGGCTTAGAAGACCTGTCGGACACGACGGACGCAGAACGTCCGGCGCGTCCGGCAAGTGGTTATGCGCGTCGCAGACTCGGTGGTGGAATGAGTACATAAATATTATTTTTATGTTTGACGCAATCAACAGAACGGGACCATTCTGAAAAAAGAGCTAGGGAGGACGTGAGGTGGATAATGTGAGAGAGACACTGTTTTGCGTCAACAGGGACACTGATGGTTGCGATTACTCGCGGCAGGCGTGGTCCGCCTCCTCGTATCTCCCAATCAGTGCGTACAACAGCCCTTTACAAAAAGATATTTACAAGAGGATCAGTGTGTGAGTGAGAGACAGGATTGCAGGGCGATGATTGAATCAGGATTAAAGGAGGGTCAGTTTTTATTAACTCGTTCTTTTAATTAAAAAATGTATATTTTGTTGCGGTGCCACCAACTTGGGTTTTAAGAAAAAGGAAAAATTAATTAATTAATTCGAGAGTAAGAAAATAACTCTGGTTTCTTTCTTCTCAGTCAGTCAGCCTGCCAGACCCTTTACAAATTGTTAATTCATCGCCTTTGTTTTGAGCATATATAATTATAAATTTGCGTTAATGACTAGAGGTATATAATAATAATCATAAAATCACAAACTGAAAATTGCATTCAACGGTAAAGCAGCATGGAGCCTCTAAAAAGCAGAGTTTCATATTTAGTTTAGATGTGAATTATTATTAAATTATTTTGTTTTATTTTTTTTAAAGAGGTTCATTTTTTTATTGGTTTTTCTAAGCGTGGATCCTGTCCACTTTCATAGCAGACCTGTCCGCATGATAATTATTTTCTTCACACGTTCAAATTTGAAGGGAGGATTTTTGAGCATGTTCCGATCTTGCAAGTCGGGAACGATTTTTTTTCATAATGATGGATAGGATTTTGTTCCACTTCCGTGTTACTGGTACAAAGGCAGCAAAGGTTGGTCAATTTTGGTACTTGTTCCGCAAGGCATGGCATAAGCAGCAACACAAACTAGCTCAGTAGTGCATGCACAATGCAAAGGGATCGTGTCCCTGGTCAGCTCGGCTGTCCTTGTCAGTTTATTGCGGGCCCTTGTATTTGTTTTCGTCAAGAGTCACGCAACTACTTTCTCGTCTCTTTCCATGTATTATTATTTTTTTTGTCAAACTTAGCCAGACGCTTTTGGAACGCTCAGTTTACCAATATTGGACCATTGAGCAGCTAGCTTTGCTTTCATTCGTGTTAATTATAGAGAGATTGTGCTCCGCTCTTTCCAGCATTCTTGCAATAAACAGTCAATTGCAACCATCCAACAAATAAAAGCCAAACTCATATGTAAATAAAGGGGAGGATTTGGACGAACACATTTATAAAGAACTCCTGCACTCGTGAAACGATTTTTGGTTATTACCTTGTCATTGTCGGCGCACTTGCCACCCCGAGCAAACACTTAATTGACAGCAAAGAGAGATTTCGGGAGAGACTTTTTCGCTACTCGACCTGCACACAATGCAGCAAACGGCAAGAATCCTGTCCACAGTGTCATTGACAGCCAAGCGCATTTGGTAAATATATAATATAATAGCAGTGATATGTTTGTAAGATTTGTAGTAAAGGTGCAGATTACAACATTTAAGAAAGAGAGCATACATTCATCGCAACCCCTACTACTTAAAAAAGGTTCGCACACTAAAGTAAGTAAGACTATGTAATATAATTGAGATTAGAGTAGAAAAGGTTTTGCTTGCTTGCTTGCTAAACAGAACTTGAGAGCAATTAATTGTATGAGCAAAATTACCAGAGTTAATTTAGCTTGCAGCTTTGTACACAATCAAGAGAGTATTTGCGTGTTGTGAGATTTAGGGCGGCTCCATCACCAACCATATAAATATATAACACAGCAAAAGAACTAAATAAGTAAAATGAACAAATCAATCGATTGTAAGTCGCATCCATTCGCATAATGATAGGAGTGGGACCACATACAACTCATACCAACAGTACAAAAGAGCCGACAAAATACTTGCAAATGCAAAACTTGCGTGTCTCGTGTGGTTATTATTAAAATTATTGCACTCTACACGGTCAATTACGGTAACAATAAAATGCATAAAGAACCAATAATTAATATATATAAAATACACGTTGCTGGTTCGTCAAAGCGGGAATTAAAAAAAAACTATTAGAGAGATAGAGAGAGAAAGAGAGGAAAGATGAAGAGGAGTAAAAAATAAACAAATCGAATCGTCTCAACTGTAACTGCAAGTCGTCTGTCGTACTTGGGTAATTATGAATTAATCAATACAGAACAGTGATGCAACGGAAAACGTATAGAGATATATATAAAATACTGTTTGCGTGTTCCAGAGGTAGTAGTAATAGAGAAGGCGGTGAGCAAAAACAATAACGTTGATTAATTGTAATTATCGCTCAACATTATTATTAATAATCCAACAACTGAAAAATCAATGATAACAACAAGAGAGATTAGGCGCTGTTTTTATGCCACTGACTGGCGCGTTAAGTCAACGCGGCCAGGCCGCATGTCGGCCGGAGCCTGGTATACCAATCAGTACATACTACGCAGATGAGCAACGCAATTCAATAATGAGAAAAATAACCATATATTAGAAAGAGAGAAGACGCTTCTGTATATAATGTATAATATGGAAAGAACCATTACTCGTTCAGTATAGATTGCTTGTTTGCTTGAATATTAATTTAATGTAGCAGCACAGCAGCAGCGGTGGTGGTGGTAGCGGTTTGTAAAATAAAACAGAGAGACAAATATGTATAATATCGAGTCTACAGTCATTCAATATCAACGATTGATGCGTTTTAGGGGGCAGTCGGCATAATATAATATCTGTGAGTAGTTTTGCAAGTATATTATATTATTTCGATTGTCAGAGCGTGTGGGTAGAATTGTATAGTACGTTCCCTCCGTATATAAAAAGAGACGGACTTATTTACAGAAAGGCGTATGACCAACCTTGATCAGTTTCAGTCTCGTTTGTGCGACGCATGTGATACAAACGCGCGATCACAACACACTGAATCAACGATTTGGATTTTCATAATTATTCATAAAATGCGAAATATATATACGCCATCGTATATGTATATTTATATAATATGGAGCAAAGCATGCAAGATTAGTAATTCTGTATTGTCACAAGCAAATTACACATGAACAACAGAAAAATAATAAATGTACGCATGGGTGTGAAAATAATACGTAATCAAAATCCCTTTGCAAGTAGCAGCAGACAACGTGCAAAATAAATTGAGAGGCTGCACGGCGCGCAGTACAGCGCGACAAGGTGTGTTGCCTGGTATACCGAAATCAGCCTCCTATATCTCACTGATCGTTCCAAATAATTTTAAGTGTTTGTTAATATAAAACAAATAAAAAAGTATAGTGCTCTCCCTACTACAACTACAAAGAGTATCCTCCTCCTACCTCAATCACATGAGATTTAAAGGCAGCATTATTATTAATAAGAGAGAAGTTCACACACTTGTTTTAATAGGTACTGATTTATGATTAATATAATGAACCTCCACGTGAAATAATAAAAAACTGGACTTGAGTGGCGCGTCGATACAACGCAGTGGTGTCACCGCCCACTTGGTATACCAAACAAGCCCTTTTTTAATGACTCTTAATCATAAGTGGTACAACAACTGCAACAACAACACTTTGTATATTGCTGTGGTGATTATTATGTCAAAATATTTAAAAAGACTTGATTATTTTTATTAATTATCATGTCTCTGCATGCTCGTTTTGCGCTTAAGTTTAGCATGAATTAAACTCTCGTGGTTTTTGTTTTGTTTAAAAACAACAAAGTATGTATATATATAGAGTATATAATGGTATATATATATAACAGTAGCCCCGCCACCAGGCAAAAATAATATCAAAGCAACAATAAAATCCATCAATAACGTGAGCTGTTTAATGGTACTACATGCAAAGGAACAAAATAAATATTGTATACGTATATGTATATATAAATATATTATTCGTATAAAGCTGCACACTCGAAGAGGAACCATTACAAAGTAGCAAAATTATATAATGCAGATTGGTAGTATTACTGATATGTATATTCCTCGAAAGTCGGTGAGTGAGAGATAGAGTGAAGACTCGAGTTTCGGATCTCATTTCAGTCTATAAAGCAAAGGGAGCAGTACGTGGTTCAATCAATCAGTCATAAAAGCATAATAATAATAATTATTGATAATAATTGAAGTCAGTATAGTTTCAAAAAACTGTGTAGTAGTAGTACGTGTGACAGAGAAAAAGAGAGAGACAGTGAGAATAAGGGATAAGTTGTGAGAGAGAGAGCGTCCCGTGGGGGCTAATAGGTCCGAGTGGGGTCTGAGGCCGGGAGGGCTGGCTCGCTCCGAGTTTGAGTACCTGTTGAGAGAACTGTTTCGATTTGTTTGCTGAGCCGCCTCTGTCTGGTGCAGACGTCTACTGATGACGCCACTTAGGGCGCATTAGAAATGCAACGGCCGTCGCCGCTTGGTATACCCTAGTGGCATGGCCATCGTGAGCTAGTAGAGACTTGCAGTAGAAGATGCCAACCCAGTTAATTGCCAAGCTTCGACACTCAGGGGGAGCCCTTGGGCCGCGATAGCCACGCTCCGCTCGGCGCAGACCCCCCGTCCGACCCCGAAGGCCCCGCCCCTCGAACTACCCACCGTGGTAGAAGATGCTATCGACGGTGTGCGCCTCCGAGTGGCAGGGGGCCTCGTGGGGACCGAAGGCCGCCGCCTCGCGGAGGGGCGTAACGGGGGCCACCTGGTCAGGGGATGCGAATTATTTTGCTTTGCGTACTGAGAGAGAAGGAGGGATAATTAAAATATATAAATATAAAATAGCAATCAAGTTAAAATCAAATCATAACCATATCTCGAGAGTGATTAATTAATAAGTGACTATGTATTAGTAGCGGATTCTCAAACAAATACGTATATAGTAATCTTCGTCCTCTACAGGTAGCAAAATAGTCCAATAGTGAGAGAAGGAGGGTCCAAATAATTCAGGCTGCATCGACGGTATTGCACCTTTTGGGCAAGGCCATAGGCCCCGTGCGCAAGAAAAAGGCTTGCTTTTCTCTTTCAGGTCTGTCACAAAGGCTACTATTGCTCAAACCAAAAGATGCTCGCGAAACTTTTTGAAACAAAGATTTCCGAGTAGCTTGCACTCGTTTTAGTCATTGGAGACCTGAGTCAAGTCAGGTCGGCAGTCTCGTGTTTTCTCAATAAAGAGAGGCAGGTGGTCCCAGTAGTCTTCCGACACACAAAAACTATATAGTGGTTTATATTATATATATATAAAAACTGTATATAAATATATATATTTATAAAGTATATGTATCGCGCGACACTCGCGGCTGGAAAGCATCCAGGATAGAGATATATAAGATAAAAGATATATATACGTACTTATTGTGAAAGCTGACTGCTGTGCTACGCACGGCAGCACCATCACTGCCTGGTATACACAGCCAGCTTACTGATGGTGTTCAATGGAGGGCTCCATGTTGTGGAGGGCTTTACAGTGATCGAGACAACAAAAACATTTAGAATTGGAAGGTTATTTGTTTTACGGCCGAGCCTGCGACGCGCCACCTCACAACTTCCGAAAACCTCTAGTAGCAACAGGGCCGAAGTGAGTCCTTCGCAGGCCTTCGGCGCCCCTCCCTGTCAAGGGCGGCACGCTCGAAGCTGCGAAGAATTCATTCGACTCTGCCCCTACCTTTCAACAGATGATGCTCCGCTCCAGCAGCAGCGGCGAGCCCAGCTTGTCGCAGTGGCACTGCGAACTGCTGCACTGCGAGCACAGGAGGCACCCGACCACCGACACTACGGCCGGAAAGGTCGACTTGCGGGGCGTGCCAGGGGTCGAGGCCTGCTGATGCAGCCATGGGTGCTCCAGGCACTGTCTGGCAGTCAGACGACCACTGCAAACAAAAAAGAACACGTCACTACAAAAGTTGAATACAACTTATCAGCAATGGTTTTCCTATCAGTCCCAGAGGGGAATGTATTTAAAATTAAACACGGACATGAGGGTTTGCTGCGTTATCAGATTTAAGATTGATTTTTTTTCTAAATTTCTTACACCACTTCCGGAATCAAGATTTTTCCACACAAACGGAAAATAATTTGGAAAAAATCGTTAAAAAACTATAAAAATACTTTTTGAAAGGAATTCCAAAAACGTAAAATGATTAATCTCGTTTTATTTTTTCTTTGGCTTATTTAGCTCAATTTTAATAAATATAAAACACGAAAGGACAAAGTAAATTAAATAAAGGAATTTATATGGAGTTCCGCAAAGACCTTGAAACAAAGCAAACGGCGCAGTTTTCAAATGGCTTCCAAAGTATTTTTGTAATTGCACGAAAGAATTTTTTATGCCGATCATCAAAATGGAATACGTACGTCTGTTCCACAACCAACGTGGCTCGGATGAAATCCTGGGCGGCAGTCGACACATTCTCGAAGAGCTCATCCGGGAACGACAGGTTGTTCTGCGAAATGTTGCAAAACGTCTCCTGTTTGGTCTCGCCCGCAAAGGGCGAATATCCCGTGAGCAGGACATACGCGAGCACGCCGACCGACCTTTGGACATTCAATTTTCAAATCAATACTCGGTACATTTTTCGCATGCATGTTGTGTAATAAGTTAAAAAGCTAAGGGTGGGGTGGTGTGGGGTTCTCGAAGTTGCGACGCAGTTCCATAATGGCTACCACGACTGCTCCTCCTTCCACTGCATAGCGACAGAATTGTGAAAGTAGGGCAGCTCACTTTGAACGCGATTAACTCTTTTTTAAGTCGCGGAAACGCGGAATTCGCGAGGGTGGGTCAGTTAAGGGTTGCGGGAGATTGAAATTGCACAGCCTTCGAGGCTATTGGCACCGCGATTGGGCAAAAAATTGGCTGAAATGTTACCATTTTGAGGACGTCTACGTCTGTCTCCGACCAGTGTTGGCAAAGAATTGAAAGTCGGGAGAGTCGGAGCTGCACGAATGGCGAGCAAATAACGATCGGGTGTTTCCGGCAGGGGTATTTAGAGAGGAGTGAGGTGAAGTGAGCGGAAAAGCAAAAGCAACGCAGACAGTGGGTAATAATGGTTATAATGAGCATCGAAAGTCCACGTAGTACACTCGAGCTTTGTAGCAGTATTAATAATATTGAGAAAAGGGGGGAAAAATGCAAAATTTTATTTTTAAAAATAAAATTAATTATAAATTGGACACATAAAATACAAATTAATTGTTGTAGCATTGATACTCTTTTTTTTGCATAGAAAAACAATCATGACTTAAATAAGTTGCAAAATATGCAGAAATAAATTATTGGATTTTTAATTGATGTTGCATCATGGCTCATGAGTCATGGATATTATTTCATTTAAAAAAAAAATCTGACTAGTTTATTCTGCATGAATCATAAAAATTATTATATTGCAATATTTATATATTAATTTGCACAAATTAAATGCAATAATAATGATGACTAAAAATAAGTTCAATTAAATCATATTTATTACTAATTTATATTTCATTGCAAAATAATTCAATATCTTTATCCCTCTTTCTTTTGTCAATAGTAAAATATAAATTTGAGGGCGGCGAACATAAATTTACTAATCAGATCATTTATATAAAATACGCAGAATCCTTTTCAACAATTCTTAGAATTTGCTTTATGCGGTGCAAAATTCCACTTGACTTGCTTTTCTCTAACCTCTGATTTCTATAAAATTATATTAAATAATTTAATTTATTACTCATAATAATTATGTTCTTAGCAAAAATTAATAAATTTAAATAAAATTACGAACAAATTTAGAGATTAAAAGATTTAAATTTGCTGACAAAATAATTATTATTGCAAACATTTAAGATTGTACTTGCAAAAGAAGTGCATTGTCAAACCAAACCCAAATAAAATTACATCCAAAATTATTGTAAAAATGGAAGAAAACCTTTTTTTTAAGAAAAAAGCAAGTGTTTATGCCCATTATTGATATTATTATTATGTAAATTCTCAACAAATTTAATTCAATTATGTGTTGAGATTATTGAAAATTAAAACAACCCCCACATTCATCTCATAAACCATCATTATTTAAATCAGGAAACAAAGGAAAGTCGGCTTACCAAATGTCAGTCGCAAGGCTGATGGGCTCGTAACTCAAAATTTCAGGTGCTAAAAAAGAGCAGATAATAAATTAGACAAAGTGCTAATTGGATTCGACTTCTGAAGGGCCAACCCACCTACGTAATCAGGTGTGCCGAGGATCTCTCTAACCTCGACACCTGACTGAATCACCCTGGAGATACCAAAATCACACAGCTTGATGTCACACTCGGGATAGCTCCCAGTCAGCAACAGATTCTGGGGCTGCAAACAGCAAAACACGATTGATTAATTGCACAGTTGGAAAATGTCACATACACGCACGAGATTATCAATAACGATAATGACCCTGTAATAGCAATATTTTATTCTTGCTGAATGAATAATACAGATGCGAGAGAGAGGTGTGGCTGCGCCGTGTGCCCACATACATTTACATAAAAGTCCACGAGACACTGAGACGCTGCTATATTGGTCAATGAGCTATATAATTTGCTTTCAGGCATTCTTGAGCTCGTCAAAAATAGTCGAGAGGGTAAAACTTTTTAATCACTCGAAACAATTAAACTACTTTTTTGTATTTTTTAATGTCTACATTTTTTTTAAACATACCTTTGACAGAAAATTGAAAATTCTGATCTTCTAGTTTTATTTATTTCTTTTATAAAAGCGTGGAGTCACTTTATGTTTCAAAACTACATAAAAATGGCGATAAAAAAAATTGGAAATTGCTTGTGTAATTCCGCGCGAGTGATGCAAAATGTAAAAATGATATTACTTTTCCATCTTCAAAAATATGTTCCAGCTAAAAAAATTTGTGAAATAAATTTACTGAAATGTGACTGTTGATTTTTTTTTTAATTTATAGATAAAATATTGAACCTGTTGAAATTATTCTTTGAATTCTGTCAGCATCTTTTATTATGTAATTATATACACAATTTCTTTTTAAATCTCTCATCTCAGTATTGGCAAAACTTATTAGGTTATTAGCATGGCAATTGACTTTAATTGCAGCCAAAGAAATTCTGTTTTAAACAAGAACCTGGACGATATAGATATTTCATTTTAAGCGAGAAGTTTTATGCATGAATTTAAGTGGCTGCGTTAATTTAACATTTTAATTGGATTTTAACCTGTGGGATAAGTGGCTGAACAGGGTGGTGTTTCAAAGTAAGTGCCTGTATGCAAATGTCACTGTCTGATAATTTTTTTGTGAAAGCACGAATCACTTTAACAAGATCTGGCACGGTTTATATGAAGGGGGCGACACACAGAAATAAAAAAAAAAGAAAGGCTTGTGGCGCCCACTTGCGTATTTTGCAAACACATACAAAAATAGCAGCACTGACATATCCTGTTCGTGTGACTTCGGTTTTGCATAATGCGAATTGCATAGAGAAGCTTATCTGATTTTTGAGAAAGGAGTTTCAGATATTGACGTTGTTTCAGCGTCATTTCAAACCGACACAAGGCTCATTCTTCAAAATGACTGGGTGCTAATGACATAAGAAATAGCATCCTCTCCTCTGAGTATTTAATTTAATCACTGGCTTCATATGATTAATGAAGGCACAAAACAGCCTGCCTATAAAGGATCCTCATACATTATTCGCCGCTAAATAAGGACATCGGTCCAGATGTTGAGTCACTGCAGCTTTGTTTCCTCTTGTTACGATGCAAAGCAAGTGAGGGGAATCGGTCAATGTGGAAATACTTCTTTTCAAAATAAGCACAATAACAAATGCTTTACAATTAGTTCTTTAACTTCTTCAGCAGCTACTGTGAGGCTGTTGCCGTTTTTGCTGCGTATTTCCAAGAGGAAGTGTTTGATGGGGAAAATAATTTTTTCTTTTTAAAAGTTTTTGCACAAAAAAATTATTATATAAACTTGGTTCAATCACCATTATTTTATCATACAATTATTTTCATTGATCCAAATGGGAAATAGATTTGCGGAATAATTTTAAGTAACCGAAAGGGCAAAGTATTTTACCTTAAGATCAAGGTGGGCTATGTCTCGGTCATGCAAAAAGCATAAACCTTCTAATATTTGTCTCATTAATCTAACAACGTGGTGCTCTGACAGTCCATCCTCATCGGTGTCCAGCACCCATTGCAATTCTCCACCGGCGGCCCTGGAAAAGATCGATTTCATTAGTGGATCATTAAAATCGATTGATCAAGAGTCAGTTTGAGTGTGTTTGTCCGCGCTCGCCTTGCATGCTCAAGAGATTCAGTTGCCCGAGTGAAGGTCAATCAAGATGGCATATTTGGGCAGCGGTGCCCTTTTCGATTAATTTACGAGAGACTTCCTCAAATTGATGGCGCGCAGTTATTCTCTTTTGCATGTTTGCTTTGAATTTCTCTCGAGCACATTTGCGTGTCTAATTTACGAAAAAGAATGATGGAAATTGGCGGCGCCTTTGCTTGCAGCCCTTTTTCGATGCTCTAGGTGAGCACGGAGGTGATGGACCAATTCTCAAGGCACGCTGGCCGACAAACACAAACCAACTCGTGACTAACGTGCTGATTACGTTGAATGTATTTTTATGGCCTTACATCTCTAAAACAAGAGCCATTTCCGTGGGGGTTTCGTAAACTTCATGGAGACGGACGATTCGAGCACCATTGAGCTCAGGTTGGGACGCTAGCCTTAAAACGGCGACTTCATGTAAAATTTCTTGGCGCTGGTCCATGGCCCTTCGCCTTTTACGGATGAACTTTGCCGCATACTCGACTCCTGTTTGCTGGTGTGTGCATTTTCTCACCGCTGCGAATTTTCCTCTGCAATAAAAAAGGGAGAGTATTAGTCATTTTTATTTCATGAGAAAATGAGAGACGCGAGAAGTATAAATAAGTGATTCAGGGTAAATTCACAAAGCAATCACACTGTGAAGGAAGATAGATTTCAATAAAAATAAGGAAATTGGTTGGCATCCTCATTTTTTAAACAATTATTATTTCTGCGAAATCTGATTGATTTCTTTTTTGAAATTGACAAATTTTGCACTTTGCATGCTTAAAATTATTTGGAATTTTGCTCTAATAGCAAAAAAGACGGGAAACAAAAAGCACCGGCAAAAATTAATCTGAATTCGTCTGTCTGCGTCGGAACTGTCAAATTTGCATTATTTGTTTCCCGTCACGGCGCGGTGAGCCGCAGCCGTGCGATTTCCTGCCGATATCGCGAATAAACGCGAGTGAGTCATCTCTGCGCAATTAAAGCAAAAAGAAAAACCTAGCATAAAGCAATAAACGGTAAATAATAATGATAATTCTTGGTCATAAAAAAACAAAAGCCTTCCGGTGGCGGCCGCCGGGCGACAGACAGATTGATTCAAAATAGCATCCGCCCGCTTCCACATTCCTCGGCGACTCTTTCGAGTATTTCACCATCGCAGATGAAGCATGGCTATATTTGGGCAGCCTCGGCAGCTCTCGCCTTTTCGGTTCGAGATATATCTCAGTCGGCAATACAAGAGAGACAAAAGTGCGACCGATTTTCTACACATGCAGAGAAAACAATGAAAGCCTTGAATCGATCGGATTTCACTTTTTGCTTTTTATTCGTTTTTTATTTTTAATTTGCTGCGCGCCGCTGGTTTGTGAACGCCAAGGTGTGACAACAATAAACTGTTTGAGCGTGAAAACTGCAATAACAATCATTGTTACTCAATGGGACGAAATAAGGTCGCCACAAAAGTGGCACCTAATTGGCCAGTGGTAACTGTGCTTTCGTCCTTATCTCACTCCGCTTTATGGTGGACTCGCAACTGGCTTTGTGGAAAAAGGGGTTTAACTATGCCACTAGAAAACAACGTAGACACGAGTACTAGAACTACATGCAAATGTTATAAAAAATAAACATAAACGCCTCTCTGAATGGTGCAATAAACTGGACACTTTTAGAACAGTAAATATTTAAGTGCGAACTTGGATGTTGGAGAAATTTCCCGTCAATAAATAACAGAAACCAATTAAGTCATCATTATAACAATTTGGAATTTTTAATTATTTTGTTTCAAAGATAGCAGAAATTATATACTCATTTTTGCAATTTTAACTTTTAAAGGAAAAAAATTGTTATTTCACAATTAGTTTTTACTTTGCTTCTTTCCCAATTTGATATTTAATTTGAATTTTCTCTAATACTAATGCAAAAGCCCAAACTATTAGCAAAAAATTTGAAGAAAATGTGATATGAATAGAGTTGAACGTGTTAAAAGTCACATTCGAATCCTTGTGTTCGCCGATTGAAAAGTCGTGTTCTCCTAATTCCGAAACACTAGATCGTCAGCGGCGGCTTTGTCAAAATCCCATTAAGCGAACACCGGCCGACAAGAAAGGCGCATCCCAGAAAAAGCATACTAATTAGCGATAAGCCGTATCAGTATTTTTTTTCCATTAGCGGCGCCGCGTGTGTATTTCCGCACCGCGCACTAACGGTTCGCTCGGTGCTGTGTATCAAATTACATTTCGGTTCACAAGTCTTTTTGCTTCCAAGCCCGGAATTACTTTCCTGTGTCCGAACAGCGTAACAGGTGGCAGAATCACGTTGCCAATTTGCGAGAGACGTCTTTCTTAATGGTTAGTGCGCGGCGGAATTCAATCTCTCGGCTCCCATAAGTTCGAGCGTGCAGCACTTTTTGGGAATCGTAACGGAATTGGCTCCTTTCAATTCATATAAAGTGCTAATTTTCTTCTTCCTTGCGAGGAAAGTCGCACTTTGGCGCTAATTCAAGAGAGACGTAATGACATTTGAGACTTTTTGAATCTATTGTGGGTCTCCCACGACAATAAAAATACAAGACGACCCGGTTCGTTTTATGGCAAGTACTGACTGAGACTGCTGCAGCTCTCTCGGTCAGGCCGAAAGAATCCTTTGGAATTTTTACTGGCGTCAGAGGCACTTGTTGGCGTTTTATTTCAGGAAACGTCGCTTAAACGTGCTGCTTGCTCTTTTAAACATTTTCACACACAAAAACTCGATTGTTTTAAAAAGACGTTAAGTCCAGCCAATGCCAAAAAAATTACAATTCCTTCTCGGTTTGGTTTTTTCTTTGTCCTACAAAATTATCCATTTCCGCCAGCACGCGCGAATTCGAGCAGGGGAGCGAGGAAAATCCAAATTGAGTCCCACATCCTTCGGACTATATTGGGTAAGGAAGGGTCACCGGTGTCTGCGTTAAACGTGTGTGACGTCGTTTTGACGGTCGAGACATAACTAAGCATATTCATTGGCTTCCTCGATTCCGATTAATTCGATAACAAAACTCGCGGTGGCAGCGAACATTTTATGCAATCACTTTTCCTTCGAATTTACTTAAGTTTATTTTGGTAGAATTATAAATTATGGCTTCTTGTTATTGGAGGTTGATCATTTTTATGGAAAAAGACGTAAGTAAATTCAATGAGAAAAACTTATGCGGTCTTCGTTGCAAGATAAATTTATTTTTAAAAATTTTCATAACTAAAATAAAAATGGAGGATTGTGTATGACAAAGAAAACTCTAAATTTTAAATTATTTAACAATTTCTGCTGCTATAAAAATCATAAGTTTTATCAAAATTAATACAAATTTATGGCTCACTGAAACCTCACATGAATGAATGTAAAAATAATTAATTAATTAGAAGACCAAGGGATCATAGCTATATTTTTATGCAGATTATAGACAAAAATGTGTCAATTCCATGTTTTTTTTCTGCATGATTTATTTCTTCTTCCGATCAATGAAAGATTTATCATTTAAAATATTTGACTACGTTTGAATGAATTAAAAGTGGTGGGTTATTTACAAAGCCAACGTTTAGTGTGAAGAATTTAAGCTCACTTTTCCATCATAAGATCCACTTATGAATCCCTTACCAGAATAATTTAAGTAAATAAAAAGCAGCTTTAAAAAGCCTACTTGTAACATCCTGCTAGAAGGATATTTCTTATGAATCTCCTACCATCATTTATGTAAAGTAAAACAAACTCTCACAACTCGCACGGTTCTCGGTAAAGGAAAATTCCAGATTGAAAATCCCTATAATTTTCACACATGCAAAGCATTTGGCGTGAACGACTTTCCTATAATAGGGCAGGGTGAGTTGGCTGCGTTATAAATTGGATTTGACGTGAATGTAAAAAGAGTCGGTGTTAATAAACCATCCACGCAAGCCTCCTAAGGCGCTGATTATAAATTCAAATATCCACGAGGGACTTCTTCACGCACGGTGCAAGCAACAGCGGCACCGACCTCACAACCAGAAGCTGAGCGAGCAGCCGAGAGTGGCCTTGCAAGGTGACGAGGCCAATCAACTCTGCTTTTGGAGGAAAATGAGGAATCCGACGCGTCTGCCAATGCAAGAAGCAATCTCAGTTTTCAAACCGAGCGAATATTTTCAAAACAGGCTGACGAGAAAGTGCTGGCAAACGAGATTATATATGTGCGCTTGGGCTCGCAGACGCTTTTTTACACCAGGAAGAGGAATTGCTCGACGCGCGGGGCAGTAATTGCTGCACTGCGCGCGCGGCTCGTTTAAACACGGGAGTTGTTTTCATGAACGGCCGATTATCGCGCTCTAAACCTCAGAAGTTATGAAAGCAAAAATGCAATTACTTATTGCCGGATTAAAATGTGAATAAAGGCGAGCAATTGAGTTTCAAGGTGGATTGTAACCTTGGTTTCGTCATTGCAAACTACAGCATTTTTCTTGAAAAAGTGAATAAAAAATATAACAATGAGAATAAACAGGAACAGAATTGCTCAATTTTTTTATTTCTTAGTTTACTAATTTTCAGGCAGGAAGTTTTGCATTTCGGGAAGTGTAAAAGGCATTAATTATTAATATTTTATTAATAATTGAACAAATTTTGTACTGATTTTATTCTTATGGCAAAAATCAAAATATTTTGGAGCTATTGTCGCAAAGAAATTCAATATTGGGCCAGATTTTCCTTTTTGATCTTGCGGCTTAATGGGACGATCTTTAATTTTCTCAAAAAGGTTTCAAGTACATAATTTTTTTTTTAATAATTATATTATTTGGTATTAAACTTATCTTTTTTCAGAATCAAGGACAAGTAAATATTATCTTAAATTAAGTACAAATTACGCTAGAGACTAAATTTTAGTATCTAAATAAAAGAAAAACCGAAAAATTACGTACACAGATATTATAAAATAAAAATAAATTTATTATAAGTTTGGCAAAAACTGCTTAAGTAAAAAACCGACTCAAATTTAGCAATCTGCAAAATTTAAGCATTATTTCATCAAATCTCTTGCAAAAGAATTTGAGCATTCACAAATTTGCGGTTGTTTTTTTTTTTTTGGGGTAAATGCATAAAAACATAAAATTATTTCCTAAATTTGAAGGCGTATCATTTTGTTCAAGGGCCATAAAAAAAAATAAAAAGTTCCAGCCCAAAAGTGAGTGACTTCGATACCCTTGGTCTTTGATGCAGCGACGGGGAGTTGCCGCGCATCTCGCGAATAATATATTGTGACACCAGCACAATGGGCGGAAAACGCAGCAGCGGCTGCGGCGTTCCGGCAGTCTCTCTCCCAAGCGCATAACAATTACAATCAGCTCGCACATAAATCTCGCTCTTTTTTTCTAAACGTGCAGTGGAATGAAGCACAAAAGCTTGCAAATCCGCTCATTCAAGTTCCTAAACTGGCGCCGATTGATTAGAAAGTAGGAAAATTTACATCCTTTTCCCGGCGCCTCGATCGCAGGGGGAACGGACAGAAGCAGTGGTTCTGCTCCAGATGAAAGGAACAAATTGCGGC